TGAATACCTCATGTATTTTCAATGAATTGCTGTAGGGTGGCCTCAGTCTTCTGCCAGATTTGTTGCAAATTCTTTTCAAAACTGTCTTCCCATTCCTTTCGGCGATTGTCTTCCTCAGAGAGATACTCTTGGAACTTCACTTTTTCAATGCTAAACTGTTTGAGAATAACAAAAAAATAAGTGAGTATTTTTAAATATTTAATTTTAGAAAATATACATTGTTAGATTAACCTATTTTTATAAAAAAATGAATAAATAATCTATAGTAATGATCTATTTGATCTGTGCATTCTGAAAAGCCTCCAACAACTACAATGTGTGTTAAGGTTGTTAATAATAGAGATAATCTTTTTATTCATGTCTGAGTTTTAATTTGTTACAGTTGTTTGATTTAAAGATATCATAAGACATACTGAATCATTAACTGAATAAAAAATTTTCTCATAAGTGAAATGACAGTAAATAACAAAAATAAAGTCTTTTCTGAATTATTTAAGTGACAAATGTTTTTATTATTATGCTTAAGTTTATCTAAGTTATTCAATATTACTAATTTTTGCAGTCATAAACAGAAATACAAGTTTTGTTTCTTTCTGTATCAAGGTTTCTCAGTTTATAATGAACAAGTCTGTATGAAGAGAATGTATTCAAGATGAAGCCACTTCTGGAAGGGAGTTATTTCACTGCAGGAAGTGTATCACTGCTCAACATAATTGAATTCCCCAATCCAATAGCTGATACCATTTTAAATGTCTGGAATTTGCAATTCAATGATAGTGGGAATAAACAAGGGGTATTGACATATTCTATTACAATCGCCCCTCCTCCTGCATACAATTTTTTTTTTTTTTTTTTTCTCAGTGTCTTTCTTTGGAGATAAGGATGAAAAACATGTTGGCAAACTAATTGGCTTTAGTGATAATTTGATTCTATTTTCCCCCCAAATGATTTTGTCTTGTTTGGTTTGGATTTTTGGCAATCCATAATCCATTCCAGATATCAACAGCTTCAGCAACAGTATATGTACCACTGTATCTTATTCAGGTTCAGCTATTGGTTGTATTGGAGAACTATTTCTTCAAACTTGAAGGACAACTGGTTCATTGTTCATATAAATCTGCAAATAGTCTGGGTGGCCACTCATTCCAACATAACTCCCTGAATGGGAAACACACCTCATGTTTCCCATTTCCTAATGCACAATAATAAAGTTTCAAATCAATTTTACAAGCATCATGGACAACATCTCAAATGTCTCTGCAGACTTTTGAGAAAACTTTACAAAATTCCTAGTATATCCCTGATTTGTCACCAACCCCTTGAATTCTGTAACATCCTTGACCAATGGCCATCTTGTATATGGAATCCCAAAAGTGTCCTGAAGTATAACAAAATATTACCTACATCCCTTCTTGATGGTGCCTTGCTGAGTTCTGATGATTGTTCCTAAAATATTTCATCATGTAAACCCAATGTGTCTTTTAAATTAGTAGCTTCCAAAATATAAACTAGCAGATTTAAATTGTATGCTGAAAATCCACTTTTTTCTAACAGTTTTCTCATCCTGTTGACATTGGATACATTATCACTTACTATGCTATCAACATGACAGAAAATCTAACTTTTTTTTTTTTGATTTAAGATGTTGCAATTTCTTAAGTATTCTGCAGTGTGATATTGGTTTGATTGTGTCTATAATTTAAACTAAATAGATATAACCTATTGATGTTTATCAGTGACTTTTTCTTTTTGCTACATTTTCTAATGCTATATTTTAATTTACAAATGTCTTTTAAAGAATACAGAAATAAATTTATAAAGAAAAACATGCTGAAACAGAATATATATGGTTTTAAGGATATAAATAGTGCAGTTATGGGGTTTAAGCTGGACACAAGGCAGATGGTCTTTATTATAAATGAGTAATGCTCAAATGTTTGGATGGATGAATGATTTAAGGTCTGTGAGGTGCTAATTACACAGATGTGAAAAAAGGCAACCAAATCAAAACAAATGCAATTGTTCCAAGAAATTTTTGATGAACAAATATAAACCAAATTCAAACTAACCAGTAAGATAGAAATTGATAACAACATGCATAATAATAATAAAGAACATAATCTTACCACTGAATCATCAGCTCTAGCATCATTTACAATTTGTGAAGATGCCTGAATCCTAGCTACCTGCTTGGATGTTGGAGTTGACTGTTGTACAATGTCATCAACTTCTTTAGTAAAGCGACTCAGAACATCAGCTTCTTCTTCAGCTTCTAAGAATTGAAAGGAGGAAAAAATTAGTAAATCTTTCAGACTTTACTTTGTATGCAATGTCATTACTAATAGATTTCAAATTTATCGCAGTCAAGTATTGATAAATTTAATAACAAAAGGCAGACCCTAACTTAATAGCATACATTTGCTGAAATCACCAGATATTTTGTACCAACTTTTTAAATTCATTAAACAATATAAAACTGATAAAAAAAGATTAGCTAATATCTAAAAAATAATTATTTTGATGTAATTTTATGTTTTGCCAGCAGTATAATCTCTATAAATACATCATACATGTACTCAATAAATGGATTGAAACTGGTCATCATATCTAATTTATTCTATAAGCAGCAAATACATAAAATAAACTTGATTGTTTTTAGGGATATATATAAGTACCATGTTCCATCAGGATGTTATCATTGATCATGACTCACAGGTTCTTTTTCTTTCTATGAATTGCCATGCATTCTTGAGAATTCAGAGTTTTCCTTCTCTTAGACCAGTTGCCACCAAAGGCTTGATAGTTCAGTCTACCCTACTGTTTAACCCATAGCTGGAGGGAGAAGAGAGGGATTCATGTCTTTCCTATGAGTATTTGTGTAAAAGTGAACATCTACAGATGTACAATTGACAAAATAATTAACTTGCACTACAGTCATTTTCCTCTATGAATCAAATTTTAGAAAATAATTTTATCTATTCATAAAAATGTGGGCACTTTGATGGGATGTAATGGTTAACAAGCTTTTCTTGCTCGATCCATTATGACTGAATAGTAAGTTCAATCTGCACTGAGTGCTTCATACTTTCAGCCTTGTGCCACATCTAAGTCACACTTACAAAATCTCCATAAAAATGTTATCACTATAGGAAGAGCATTTCTTACAAAAGACATTCTCCACTATTTAACAGTCAAACAAATGTTCACATTCTCAAAATGAATAACTTTTTATTTCCATATAAAAAAAAATCACTTACTCTTACTGTTCTCCTTCTCTTCAGACAATTCTTGTTCAAGGTTAGCAATTTGCTGTTTTAATGATTTTATCTCTTCTTCTGCCTGCTGTTGAGCCAATTGCTGTCGTTCATCCCATTGAAGCTGAAGCTTTTTTTCTGTTTCTTCCATTGTTTTCTGAATTTTCCTAAGATAAACAAAGACAAAGTATTTTGTTTGCATTGTCATACAAAACAGCACAATTGGGTTTTGTTTGTTTTGGACACATTTGAAAATAGGTTGTAAATTAGGTACCTCCACTAGGTCACATGAAAAAAGGCCTAATTAGGAAAGCTTTTACTTGCTTTTGTAAATAAATTATATTAAGGACATTATTGTCTGAAGAAATAAAACTTTTTCAATGAATAATATATTTTTACAAGAATTTTTTTCACTTTTTAAAAAAATTATTTAACACTTTAAAAATTGTTTATTAAAATTCTTCATTGCTTTTAAACATGCAATTTGTTCATATGGTTAAGTGAAAAATAAATTTACGAATCGAAATTTGTAAAGCTCATAAGTCATTAGTACCTGAATATTTTTAAAATAATTTTTAATGAAAAAAAATGTTCCTAATTTCTATCTATGGGGAATCTATACATGACATAATCCTTAAACAGGTCACGTGATTTGATTGTCGTCTGAGGCACTGCAATTATTTCCCTTCAATATCCAGTTCCATTTCACATCGTTAACGTGTTTGCAAAAAGTCCTTTCAAAATTTCTAAGTTAGTTTTAATTTTTGTTAATTACTTTTTTACTAAATATTTTTATTTTAGGTATTTATTTTAGTTAGTCATATTTCATTGAAGTAATTTTTTGTTTAAGTTAGTTGTTAAATAAGATAAAAAGATTAAGAACCCAAGAAATGAAACCCAGACTAAAAAAAAGTATTAAATAAAAAATAAATATTACATAATTGCTGAAAAAATGTTAATACTTTTAAAAATTACTAGTTAAAAAAACCAAAAAAATTTGTTCACTTGCATTTTGTAAAATTATATAAATTTTGGTCATCCATAGTAGTTGTCATCACCTTGTAACTTCTCAGTAATATCGATAACGTGAATAAAGTCACGGGAAAATTCAGACACATCGTTAAGAAACATTTGGATACAAATTTTATGCTATAAGTAAATAATGTTTGTTTCAAATCAGATTAATTTAAATTTTCTAACTTTACTCAAATAAGGTGTCAAAATATATTTATTTTAGGAAGAAGTTTAAATTGGAAATTTTTTTTTTTTTTTACAAATTTAAAATTTAAGAAAATGGCCACTTTTAAGAAATTAAAAAAAAAAAAAAAAAAAAAAAAAAAAAAATCGAGCATATATTTGACATAACAATTATATAATTTCTATTTGAAATACACCAGAATATTTTACTTACTGGAAATAATAAATTTAATCCTTTAGCTTTCAATTAAAGCTAAAATAAAATCTTTAAGAATGCTTTTTCATTTTTAAAAACTCATTTTAAACCTTAGGTATCAAAAAATTGAATTGAGGTACCTATTGTAAATGTATTGTCAAATTTTCTGGATATATAAATGAAAAATAGATAAACTCTGAGCTGATACTTGTAAATTTCAAAAATGACATTGGTTAACTGATTTTATCACTTCTCAGCCAATTCTTAAAAAAAAAAAACTTTATATCAATATTTTGTGTCACTTTGCCAATCTGCATGCAAAATAATGTATTACTATTTTGTTATGAAAAGCTATATCACCTTAAACATTATTAGGAAATACACAGCTGCAAAAAATCAATCTCTAGTTTTAACAAATTAACTCAAATTCTGCTTTTCTCCCTACAACATCTCTACAACACAGATCAGCTCCTTTGAAATGTTAATATTTTAAAAAAAAATAACTGAGCTAGATTTAGAGTTCTCAACAGACAATATTCTTTTTCTAAAAACACAACTTAGCCTGAGCATGAAAATCTGAAATTTGTTCTATTACATATCAAACAAAAATGAGTTTTGCCCTCCACTTCAGATAATGTAAGATTGATAAATTGATGTTTGATTTTATAACATTATGTATAGAATTTGAAACGCGTTTACAATTCAGTAAAACCATAACATTTTAATATTTCTAAGAAAAAAAAAAATATTTTAATTAAAAATAATAATAATAATATGCAAGAAATTTAATGAAAGTCTGGTCCTAATTCTCTCCTGGGGTCTGTGAATTAGCCACAAAATGCTAAACATCTCACAACTATGGTTTGAGGCAGCAACAATGTCGAGCAAAGAGTACAAATCTACTGTGTCCAATGAAGCCATTCTAATTCCTACATTGTTATTTTTAATATGCATATCTCATTTTGCAGTCACAACATCAACCAAGGTACTTATAACATGTTTATGTACATACTTGAGGCGGGGGAGAAAGAAAGTTTTCACATGACATGTATTGTCCTTTAAAACTTCATTGGACCAAAGTGATTTTACATTGATTCAACTACACATTCACATTAAAGAAAGGGTATGCTGAAACTTTAAATTTTTTTTTTTTTTTTTTTTAAATAGGTTTGTATAGTCTAGCTGATTTCATTTACTTTCTTTCTGTTCATGTTTCAGTCACTTTTGTTATCAAATATCACACATTGTGATAATAGAAGATCAATTTATATATCATTTTCCTCATACTTTCAAGGAGAAAGTCTAATCTGAAATCACATTGTTCCATTTCCTCATAACCAACCTGACAAAATCTCAGGTGTGTGAAAATGTTCCCAGCACTCTTTGTAAAATAGAAATTCATTACATAGTTAAAAACTGCTTTTTCATTAGACAAATTTGCACACATACCTTATAACATCATTAAAATATAATAACCATTAAGCCAAACCTGCAAATGCATTTCCACTTGACAAATAAAGTCAGAATCATGCAGGATCCAGTAAGAATTGAATTCACTGGCAATGTGTTGTAAGCCTCCTTACTACTTACCAAGCATGTTTACTTTTGATGTCTTCTACTGCTTGTTGCGCCTTCTTCATCACGTCTTGTATTTTCTGACGAAAATCTATCTCACAGTTCTTTAACTGAGTCGACAGTTCATTTACCGTTTTTTGTAAGGCAAGTTTTTCATTCTGGAATGAAGAAACAAAAGTGAACAAGAATCTCTTTTCTACCTGAATTTTTTTTTTTTTTTTTTAGACAGTTTTATGGTATAACAATTGGCCCTGTTACAGCACTTGATGATTTAAAAACAAATGGCAATAATAATGTGAACAGACAGCTAAATATGTTATAAACGTGAATAAATATTATTATCTCTACTCGATATCGAGCACTCTTTTAAGAATAGTATTTTTGATTGTTGGAATTTTATTCTATGTGTACCAACCCTGTACTTGTGTATGTGTGTGCATATATATATATATATATATATATATATGTCATTAACATTCCAACACTGTTCAGATAATTGAACTCACTTTTCATTCACATGATGTTTTTGGCTGATCCATTCTTCAACCTTTACCAGGTGAATAATCTGTGAAAAGAGATGACTTTGTGAATGTTGAAAGAAGTGGTATATATCAGCTTGTCAGCTAGGTGCATAAGAACTTGTGTAGAGACTGGAATCTCCTGCCTACATGAATGGCAATATAGTTTCAGGTGTGTGTGTGTCTCATTGATGAAATGGATGGATCCAGTTTGTGGAAACCATTTTTCTATTGCCATTTTCTGAAGTTTTCTTATGAATAATACAACTGACAAAGGCTGAGAAATGGATTAGCTGAATTGTGGCAATTATATTATGAAAATTTTAAATACATCAAAACTTTAATTTACTCAAATGATTACACATATAGTGAGACAGTAAATTCTGTCAGTCGAGGTGGTGGGGGTACCAAAATAAAAATTTTGTTTTTGTGCTACATTTGAAAATGTTATGCATGAGCAAGGTTTCAGCCTTTCTTATTGTGGCCCATTGACTTGACCATTACTCCATTTTAATCATTTTCTGCATTAAACTAAATTTTATGATTAGGCACTGAATTTTGCAATTTTAAAAAGAAAATTATCTAAAATTTGTTCTATCAGGTTTTAGACATTCAATCTCTGTTCAGAAAAAAACAAATTGTTAATGATCAGAAATTAAAGCAAGTACAACTGACAGAATATGATTATCATTATTATTACTGGTTTGCTATAGAAATGCTTTGTAACTGATTTTACTGTAAGAATATTTTACAAATGCAGAAAAAGGAATTGTCAGTGATAAAGGTATTCATGCAAAAGTTACTGACAGAATAGGGCTAATATATGAATATCCAATGAATTTACTACAGAAAAATATTGCAATTATTTTCAATAGTGAAATGCATTGTAAATGATTTTATAATAGCAATATATTGAAAATTAGGAAGAAAGGGAGTGTCATTGGTGAGGATGTATATGCATAATAATCTTATTTTGTAATACAAAATACAGAAGGTTAATTAGATTTTAATGAACACAAGAAAACATGGGTAGTAAAACTGAACTGTAGTGAAAGCATCAGAAGCTTTGTGTTTCAGTCCAATCAAGTCTAAGCTAAAGACTGAAACTGACAAATTATCTCAAAAAATTTGTTACACATCCAGCTTTGATTTTAGTGTAAATTTGTGGTTGGAAATAAAACTAATTGTTTGAGAATCCAAAAGAAATCTATTATGTAATATAACCCACAATGTAGCTTGACTAAAAATTGTCAAAAGATTGCAAGACACATTGCTCATATGCAGTGACATAGTGTGATTTGAATAAAGACAATATCCAGTACTAATGATATAGTGATTTACTAAATATAGCTTAGATGTGGCACAAGGCCAAAAGTAGAAGCAAACTCATTACTCACTCAATTGATCTAGCAAGACAAGCTTGATAACTATTATGTCTTGTCAAATTGTCCCCAGTATTAATGATATAACCAAGTATGCACTGAAAATCACATGGGCAAATGGGTACATGTCATGTTAATGTAGCCTTAAAGATCAGATAACACACATATCAAATGCTTAGGAAATATGTTGCAGAGTATTCATTTATCCCTACCTTTCAAATCCTTTAAATTGTCTGACCAATGCAATAAAAAATAAAGTGTGAGTTCTCAATATCAGAACAGCAAATTGCATTGTATTTTTTCATAACCAAAAGACAAGATCACCAACTATTTCATAACTGACAGATAACATCATATTATAGAGAGGATGAAAAAAAAATACCTCAAAGGGGTAACAGTCATTTTTTAATTTTTTTTAATAATCATGTACCCAAAACCATATATATATATATATATATATATATAGCTAATATTAGTGATAAATATGCACATACATATGCAAAATATATAAATATATATATATATATACATAGGTGCATACACATACATGTATATTTTTTGAATAAAAAATTCCAAGAGGATAGAATCCAGGTAGAACTCAATGTCCAGGACAGAGTAAGGATATAACAAAAAAATTTGTAGGTCTGATGAATTGGATCGTATTTATGATTCCAATGGAATAAATTATGACCATGGAATATTAGTGTTTAAGCCTTTTTGTTATATATATATATATATATATATATATATATATATATATAAAATACCCAATACAAACACAAGTGTTCAAAAATGAAGAGAAGAACAATGAGAGGGAAAATGGTCATTAATTACCTTTTTTTTTTTTTTTTTTTTTTTTTTTTTTTTTTTTTTTTAATAATAAAAATATCTGTAATAGAGAAATTGATATTTACTTTAACTTTGGAAAGCTCTACAGCCAGTGTGTAACTGTCTCGTGGTTCCATTTGCTCATTGGTTACTGTGCCCTTCTGTTGAATCAGAGCCTGACGGAGAAGATGATTTTCTGACCGAAGAGAATCCAATTGTCCACTAGTCAATTGCTAGACAAAGAAATACGTACAAATAAATTTATATTAAGATTAACTGTGAATTTTAATTGTTTATACAGACAAAAGGTGCGGAAGAGGAAAAAAGCAATAAAGCTGGGGTAAGTGCTTTAATATCTTGACTTAATAATTAATGACTTTTTGCATTTATGAAGATCAGTATATGGATTAGTGTTCTCATGGTTTTTAATTGTTTTGTATATAATGTTTTTTATTGCTAATTTATGTGCTGGAAAAAGAGCCAGGGTTTCCAGTTTGGTGGTCAGAGATAGGAACAAATACCAATATATTCAAAACAATGAGAAAACTTTATTTAAAAATTCAACTCCTTTGAACACAGGAAGATCATTTGTTTTAAATATGGCTACTACATGATGATGATAAATATTAATATTTTTTTTTTCAAGCAAACGTTATTGCTCTCTTATTCAAAGTCTTATTACATTGAAAAAAAATATCAAATTGTCATATATTCCAAAAATAATTTTTCTCTTTTTCTGCATTTCACTGATTTCATCAACCTCCAAACTAAACAAAACTGCACAGAAAATGGGAAGTACTATCATCAGCCATCTTTTTTACATGGACAACCTTAAATTATACAGTAAGGATAATGACAAATTGGAAGGACTTTTAAGAACTGTTAAAAGCTTTAATACACTGTCAGAGATCAATTATGAAATCTGACTTCAAACGCCAAATTTATAATAGCCAAATTAGACAATAACAAATTTTTATGAATCGATTTATAAGTTCTACAGAAGTCTTAACATTGTCTTTACACTAAAAGTATCACTGCAAATAAACTCCTTATTGGCTGCCACAAATGAAAATGTATCAGAAAAAGCCAAGCATAAGATAAGTTGTGACTGGTGTCATAATAAAAACTATTAACCATGAGTTCTCATTGTTAGCAGTCAGTGTGTTAATGACAACATAGGAATGGAGTTTGGTTTTTGCACACTTTATCCAAGCCATATTCAAAAGAGGCATGTTGTTGAGAACTAAGACTATAGAACTGGATATATGAACCATGATAAAAGAGCTGGAAGAAAAGACATATACAAGTATTTAGGAGTCCACTAAAGAAATGGAATCCAGAATGCCAATATAAAGGAAAAGAATTTTTAAAATGTCTTACAAGAGTGTGTGCTGTATTGAAAACAGAATTTAATTCATAGAATAAAATAACTATAAATGCTGTTGGTTTCAATCTTGGAAATGACTATTAACCCCCCCCCCTTCCCAAAATTATAGACAAATCCTACAGATTCATGTTGGGATTTCTTTCAAGCCAATAAAAATTGACAATTTTCAGTCTAGCCCAGACATTTTCTTACTTGACTAACTGTATCCTTTTTGTGTCTGAGCACTATTTCTATTTGGTGAATTTTTTTTTTACAGTTTTATAATTGCTTTGCCTTGCATTATATTGTCTTGTATTATTTTGTCCTGTTCTTCCTCTTCTTATGGTTAATGAGAATTTTGTTAGTTCTGCTTAACTATGTTTGCTTCTTTAACAAATATATTTGTTTTAACATATCTTTAAAATGTTTGAAAAAGTGAAGGTGATGATTTTATAATATTAAAGCAATAAAAATGAACATGTTGAAACAAGAAAAACCAATAACAAAAGAGAAAAGTAACAAAATAAAATTGTATCATAAAGTGGTAATATCAAAATACCAAATGTTTAACAAAAAAGACAGTTAAACCAATTTATTCATTTTTCTCTCATCAAAGCTAAATCAAAGATGAAAACAGTGCACAGCAACTAAAAATGAACACCAAAGACTAAATGTGATAAAAAAAAAATATAATACTTACAGGCTAAGTACCTTTAAGCCTATCAACCATGTCTGCTTATAGTGAGATGGCTGGCAGTACTTAATATAAATAGATTCCAACAACTTCAAATGAAATTCAGAATTAGCTTTCCTCAATATTGAGAGCATGTCTTGGTTGTAAGACTGGGTATGTTGATGTTTCTTGTAAATATTTAGCTTTTGCCAAACCAGTTGTATTTATGCACATATGCAAATTGTCCACCTTGTCCTTGCAAATATTTGCTGGTACATATTGATTGATCTGTACTTTCAACCTTTGACCCGTTCTACCTATGTAACCAACATCATACTGACATTCAAATTGGTGAACTAATATGATAGAGAGGTAGAACATTATCCGTCAACTTTTGAAGAAAACTATAAGCAAAGACATTGATTTCAACCAAAAGCATACACATTGGTGATTTTAGAGTTGTGAACTCAAAGCACAAAACAAGGATCAAAATTTATTGACACATAATTTCAAAGGAAATAGCTTAAAAAATAGCACAGATTCCAAATGCCACTTTTGCAACCTATTTGTGGAAACAATAACTGAATGTAAGTCAAGATATGACAGAATATAGGTCAATATCTATAATAAATAATAATGAGTAAAAAAAAAAAAAAAAAAAAAAAAAAAATGGAAAATAGGTTTCTGATCACATGTGATTTTATGACTCCACTTCCAGCAAGGACAGAATTATTCTCTTTCTCCTCTTGGTTTCAGGATGTGAATCATGCAGTAACAGGGTTCCCATTGGAGAATGTTAGTTTCCTCCGGTCCATGAGCAACTGAATTTTTTCCATGTTCAGACATGTTTTCAGCTGCCCTACTCAAGTAGAGATTTGACTATTACAACTCAGCACGAGGCTGACTTGAGCTCAAACCATCTTTATCCATTCATATCCTTATAAATTATTTCAGAATCAAAAAGAAACATGAGCATATTTGTTGTGAAGTAAATAACACACCCCTGGTAACACAAATGAACTAGGCAAGACATCTTAAATAAAGAACTCCAATTGAGTCAGGGTAGTCCATTGGCGTCAATCAGGAGAATTTCTAACAGATGTAACGGTGAGTAGCCTAAGCAAGACATAATATTATAACCACCAGGAGTGAGTTATAACAATACAGTCAACATAAAAGAAATAAATGTCCATAGCAGAAACTCAAGTTTTTTTTTTTGTATGCTTCTATTTTCTTTGTATACATATTGAACACACACCTTCACCTAAAAAATACATACAAAACTCATAACCTTGTTAACATCCACATTACTACAGACTACTTACAGTAAGTAACTGCTATAAATATCACCCAGAAACAATAACTAAAGGGGGGAAATATCAAGTGCTATGGGACTTTGCAGCAAATATGAAAAGGTAAACAGATCAGTTGTAATTATCAAGGATTAGAAGAAAAAATGGCTTTTAATTGACATGAGTAATGCATCTAATCAACATACCTGTTTAACAAATTAGCTAAATATAAAGATCTTGAAATTTAAATCCAGGAGATGTGACACTTAAAATCTGACTATTCTTGTCATTGTTATGGCAATAGGTATGATCAAGAAAGGCACAGGTAAACCAGTCAATAAAATCCTTAAAATATAGTGTTTACCAGGACTGCACACATATTACATAAGGTATTGTCAATGTAAATTTCCAATTGTATGGTTAAGATAAAGAAAGTGTATATCTCTTCAACCTTTTGTTGTTTTAAGTCATTGGTAATCAATAATTTGTATTAAATAGAAATAATAATATTCATTTAAAGAAGAGGAGAGAGGGGCTTTTTTTTTTTTTTTTTTAGTTAATTCATCCTTGGAATTTTAGAGCCTTAAACTTAATGCCCATTCTTTCCCAACAAAAATAAGTGGTTGGTTAAGTATATGCAGTTATCCTGTAGTTGTGAGTTTAATTTTTGAATCATGCAATGAGATTCATATATTTTGGTTCCCAAGCACTGATATCAGGATGGGAACAATCTATCTCCATGAACCAAATAAATGATTTGATCAAGAATTCCAAAAACATTACCAAATATGACAGGCACCTGAAGAAAGTTGTAGAGTACAACATTCGAGGCATTGTGATTATAACAATCAAGATAAAGATACCAGTTCAAATAAATCAATGTATCTTAATATATAACTTATATTCAAAAATGAAAAAACAACACATATTAAACAACTATTTTTGGATTATATTCCCATGTATGCATGGGACACATGTTAAAAGGCTTTGTGCTACAGTCAGAATAAGTAAAAACTAGTGTCATGTTTCTTAGTCCATCACATCTCCAGCTCTTTCAGGCATAGATTTGTGTGTGAGGCTATGGAACCAAACTTTTAGCAGGATGTTCTGTAAACTGGGACTCTTTAATAGTGTGGGGTTTATTCTTTTGAAGATTGCAAGGGCTACAAATGAATCTGAAGTCTTTGTTGACCAATCTCATTACAAATGATTTGTCCTCCTTTTTACATGGCATATGATTGTTCCACTACCACAACCCATATTGTGTGTAGGTGCCACAAAACTGTTTCTAGGAACACTTGGTTGATGTCCAGGTACTCCACTGACTTCCACACTTGTCAGATTTAAGTACCATTGAATATGTATAAGACATGTTGCAACCTTCACTAATTTCCCTGCAGCCACACCCAACAAGTACAGCACGATTATGGACAACCACAACCCTGAAATATGCCTGGATGGATATATCTATACAACTAGTCCAGTACCATGTACACTTCATACCATATTGTGTAGCTGCTTTTATTCAGGCAAAGAAAGGAGCTACACATTCTGAGGTAATTGTCTGATTAAGGTGAATGTGACAAAGCTTCTGATGGTGATCTTGAAAGAAGACTTTGCAGAGTGTTTTGAAAAGTGGAAAGGGTGCTGCGATAAATGAAGTCCAAAAGGGAGTACTTGCCCTAGGTAGGCTACTGTTTCATTAATATTAATTTATAATTACCATTAAATAAGGTGCAACCCAAATGTTTGGGGAACTTGAACAACATACATGAATGAACAGACTTTTGCTGCTACCCTCTTTGTGAGTCAAGGGGATTATTTTGAAAGAGAGGATAGATCAATTTCCTCAACCTTTTGGGTAACATCTCATACGCTTATTGTTAATAATATCATGGCTGACCTTATTTTGTAATTCTTCACTTGGATTACTCTTCAGATTTTCTGTTTGTTGTTCCAGTTGGGAGATTTGTTTATTCTTAGCCTCCAGGTCCAATTTCATGGCACAAATTGCTTCTTTCAGTAATTTCTCTGTGTTACTCAAATCACTGAAAGGAAAAGGTAAAATATAAATAAAAGATGGAGAAAAAAACTGGAACAAAACTTAATTGCATTTTGGATTGGAATAATTCACAGATGAAGTGGATGAGCATTTTTATGACTAAAATACATTTTTGAGTGTCATTCACCCACTTCCCTAACATTTACAAAGATGTGCTGAAATTTTTACAACCAGATCAAAAAAGGATTCAAGGAAAATTTTGATATTTGGTGATTTAGTCAGAAAGCGAGTCAAATCAAGAAATTTTAGGCACCCCTTCATAATACAGTTTTATAGCATTAGGCTAGGTACAAGTACTAGTAATCTTCGGCATTTGAGTAAACAAAATACTAGATACCTCAACTTTATACATATGAGATCCTGGAAATATATTGAGTCATTTGCTGAGCAAAAAGCAGGTCTTCCATTAAATATATTCCATTAAATACAGTAACTAGCTAAGCCTTCCTGCTATTAATGTATAATAAATTGTTTGTAGTCAGTTTGATTTGATATTTGTGAAGTGTTGAACTAATATCTTCATTTATATAACACTCACATCTATCTCAAAAATTATTTTCTGGTATACTAATCTCTATTTTATTCTGAATATCTTTCTTGCACTGAAATCTTTGTGCTTTGTCAAGATTATACCAGAGATAATACTGATTTATCTATTTTTTTTTTTTAAATAATGTCTTATATGACTATATTAAAGAGATTGCATTGCTAAAGTTAAAAAAAAATTCTAAAATCTTTATAAAGAGATATTTTCTATTAAAGAGTATTGAAAAAAATTAAAATGAAACTTGATTCTATTAGCAAAACTTCTTACTCTTATATTTAGTAAATATTGAAAACATGCAGTCTTATGTGAGAGAATAGCATTCAAGGCTATCACACCCTTTCACTATTGTAAATATATATGAGCTGATAAACTATAAGAGATTAAAGATCAGTATCAGATCATTTCTGAAGTAAAAGAAATAAATCATTATAACTTCCAGTTCTGGAGTAGATTAACCAATATTAAAAATGACAGGATACAGCCAATTACCATGTAGAAATTCAATTACCAAACTTGGAGTAAAAGATAGCTGATGCTGATCATTGAAAGGATTTTGCAGTGTTTTGAAAAGTGGAAGGCATGGTAGCATAAGTGAGGTCCAAGTGAGTCATTGCCCTAGGTAGGCTACTTTTTTTATTCATATTAAATAGCAGCATCATTTCTGGACACAGTTCATACAAGTAACAACAATGAAGGTATTAGTCTGACTTAAGATGTAATTTCACAGATTAATACTCAAGCTGTAATGTCATTACTTACGTTAATTCTTCATCTTTCTTCAAAATTTGATCTTGGAGGTTCTGTATCTCTTGGTCATCCTCTTGTCTCTGTTTCTCATAGTCGTCTACTTTCTGAATCAATTCTCTCTTTTCAGTATCTAGTGTCTAAGCACACAAAAAAATCATTTCAGGATTAATGAATTAGACAATGGCATCTAATAAGTGAAACAGTACAAATAATGACAAATATAATGAATGTAATTTTAAAAAGTTTATTCAGTTTTAAAGTTGTTCTTCATTGAAGCAAGATGAAACAAACGTTTATTATAATACCTTGTTGGTAGCATGAATTTTACAAGAACTATAATGATAGCAAGTGATATTGATCTCTTTTAAAATAAGTTTGATCAGATGTGAATTTATGTTAAAAAAATATCTTAACTGCCACAAAAATGACTTGGGATATGTTTGCTTGAGACCTCAAAAACATTTGACTATTTTAGCCATGCTTAAATATTCTTAGCTTTAAATTTCTTCAGACATCCATTAAGAAGTGACTTTCATAAAAGAATATTAAAAATTCCAGTAGAATTACTGTAATAAAGCAAATTAAAAAAAAAATGAAAATTATTAGAATGAGTAACAGTGAAGCAAAAAGAAAAAAAAGGTCAAATTTTGGTCCAACAGAATAATATACTGTTATTAATTCCCCATTTATTCTGATAGCATTTCACAAAAAGAAAAAAGTCTTAAATACTATTGTAAATACATCTGGTGTCATGAACTGCAGCTCAGAATGAGAAATTGGAGAAATGAGTTCAAGTTCCAGTTGAGTTCATTACATTCACGTACATGCAAATACCTTTGAGAAAGGCATGAATCCATCTCTTCTTCCCTCTTGCTATGGATTAATAGCAGGACAGACTGTGTTCTATAGCTTTTGTTGAAATAGTAACTTGATAAAGAATCCCTCATCTCCCAACAAGCATGGGTCACTCATAGGGATACATTGGCCCATGAAAATGCACAGTAACTGAAAGTCTTCAGTTGTGTGAGTTGCACATTCTGACTTGGACAGAGAAAGTGATAAAAAAAAAAAAGAAAAGGTATTGAAAACATAAAACAGAGCCCTCACCCAGCTTTCCACCAACTAAATAATATACTACCTCTTGTTTTTTTTATCTATTCTTGTTCATGCCAGTGTGCATCAAAAACTGGGAAAGATCCACTGCAAGCAAGGAAATGAAAGATAAAAACAAATGCCTTAATGAGAAATGAAGACTTGAAAAAACAGTTTCCACAATATTTAGCTGTTTATTCAGGGCTTCACTTACTCCATCTGGATGGGTGGGTAGTGACACTTGGAACGACTGCCATGTCAGTCTAACAGATCAGCTCTTCCCTCCTACCAAATGTCTACTCATGCACAGCTGGCAAATCAAACAGGTGGCATTGGAACTACTTAAGGATCAGTCTATCCCTTATCAAGGGTAGATCAGAACTTACTCAATCCCAACTGTGGAATTCTCAATGCCTGATCTTGTTGTCACTTGACTCCCAAGTTATTTTATTTATTTATTCACTTTTGGTCAAGTGATTAACTGCTTTGAAGACCATCTCTCACCAATTTATTGTTGATCATAAAACAAGAAACACTTGAGATAAAGATATAAATAAAATAATCACACACCATCTCCTTCCATGTCTCAATCATAGTGTCACACTATTTTAAATGTAAGCTAATACTTAAAACATTTGAAATCTATTTTTCCTCATTTAGTTATTTACAAAATTTAGTTTAGTCTGGCACAAGGTAAAGTAATGAGTTAGAAAATGAAAACTGAACCTATTACACCAGTCTCCGAAATGAGCTTGCTGAATACTGAAATATGGTGGACATGCCCATTTCTTATTTGCAACAAATTTCTAGTTTGGCAACTAATGTAAAAATTATATACACTCTTCAGTGCTCAGAGGTAAAAAAACAATAAGTGGGTACAGTGTATTGTTTCAATCTTTTCAAGCTATGCTGAGTGGACATTAGTTACAGTTTCTGGGAGAGATCATATCATTTGGCATGATCAACAATTTGAATAAGGCCTGTACGCTTAAACCCTCAGTCACAATGACTTGTGACATTGTGCTAGTCACCATTGATGAACAATCTGTTTGCCCAATTTCAACCAATGGTTTTTTAAAAGTGTTGCACATTGACATCACCTCCCCAGGTTGATAACATCAAGAAGTCACCTTCCTGACAAATCAACCATAGTGAGATTTGAACCCAGGTCTCATGGTCAGAAAGCGAATGTTCTAATCACTCTGCCACATGCCCATGCTATACTAATAATGATTTTCTAATGGATGTCTTAATATGAAGTAGTAGTGAACAAGTTAAACTTACAGACCATTACGAACATAGTGATTTAGATCCACACTGAGTGCTTCACATTTGTGGTCTTGTGTCTAAAATAATCTTTTCAAATAGCCTAACTTGTGGCAGAGATAGTTACATATTTCCCACTAGTACTAAGAAATCAGGGTTTAAGCCAAGATTTTGAAAGCCAATGTTCTACATGGATATTCCAAGTGGAATATTAGTATAATATAATGTTCCTGTCCTAATTTCACTCCTTTTAACCTTATGTCATACTAATTTTAGGTTCATCTGAAACTAGGCAGATGAAAACCTAACTGATAATTTTGACTGGATTTTTAAAAATAGAACTAGCATCATTCCATAATAGCTGATAAATGAATTAAATATAAGATTTTTTTGTAATATACTTCAGAATAAATAGTCATTCCCCTCAAAATTGATAAGAAATTATATTATCTGTTTATTCCAAAATTTAATATTAATAGTAAAAAATTAAAAAAGAAGTCTGAAAAATAAATAAAAATATATTAAAAAAGGTTAAAAAAAAAAAAAAAAAAAAAAAAAAAAAAAGAAAAGAAAAAAAGATGAAATTGAGTAATTTTAAGGTTTGTTGATATCATGCAGTTGGGTACCTGCAAGTTGGAATTGGTCACCTTCTGATCATGAAGTAGTCGCTTGTTTTCTTCAATTGTTCGTTTCTGGGATTTAGACAACAACTCCATGGCAGCCTGCATCTTGTCAATGCAGGTGTCCTGACAGTAGTGCACAGAAACCGTAAGATTGGAGTGGATAAGAAGAGACATCAAAAAAAGTAAAAGGAGACAGAGAAAGAAAAGAGAGGCTAAGTAAGATAAATTTTAAAAGAAAAATAGCAAGAAAGAAAGCATCAAAATAAGTTGGGCAAAGATCAAACTCAACCAGTCCATGTTGGATAGGCCCTTAAGGATGTGAGCCACAAGTTCAAATCTACTTGGAAGTTACTGCTTTTTTTTTTTTTTTTTTTAAATTATTTCCAATCAATGTTGTTTACTTAATGGTCATAGAATAACTGTAAAAGAATCTGACCAATTTGATAAAAAGCAACAAAAATAAGATGAAAACCTCATTAAAAAAAAAAAAAAAAAAAAATTTTTTTTTTTTTTTTTTAAATCAAGCATGTTACTGCATTTCATAAAATCATAACCTTTTCATTCAATTTATTGTCTTATTTTTATTTTTCGAGTGAGAAATTAATTCTTTCCCACCATTACAAAAGTGAAAGAGAACAAGATTAGTGAACATGGAGAAGTAGAAATAACCAAAGGGAAATAGAAAAATATTAAATTTTCAAATTGATGAAATTCACCAGAATACAAATTTAAAAAGATTAAAGAAACAATTACAGATAAAGCAAAAACGGGAAGGAGAAAAAAATTAAAAGGCAAATGGTAAATAAAACAATGTCAGAAATAAATTATTCAATACAAGTTTATCTTTGTCATCAAAAAACAATATTTTAAGCAATCTTGCAATTGAATCAATACTTATCAACTCCAGCTCATTATAGAAACCATTTAACAGGAGAATTTTATCAGAATTAAAAAACTTATACAGTCATTGAACATAAGCTTTTCGAGAATGGTCAGTACTTAGATGGATGACTGCTTGAGAATAGTGGATGCTGTAAGCTTGGATGTGCAGGTGGTGTAATAGATAATGGCTTGGAATTGGAGATCAGAGAACTGAGTTCCAATTCCAGTTGAGTTCAATATATACACTTACACATAAACACCCTTGAGAAAAGTATGAATCCACCTCTTCTCCACCCAGCTATGTAGTAGGATTTGTATCCATAAATCATTATTATCTCCCCAAAATTCTTACAATCTAAAAGTATTTTCTGGCTTGAAATAACCTGCAAAAAATTTATAAGCTGTAAAAAAAATCAACCAATTAATATGTAAATCCTCTACTGAAGCATTAAAGAAAATGCCAATGTGTAGAGATATTTTTATTTTCTATAAATGATGACTATAAGTGACTTTATCTCTCTTGTTATCATATTTCCTTCAAACTTTTTAGAATGTTGCCCACACTTGTTAAATAAAGAATTTGAGAAAGACTAATTTTAGGGAAAATAACAACACTGTTTCAGTGACATTTGAACCATAAGCCTATAAATAACTAATTATTTTTTTGTTACAAATAATAGAAAAAAATTTCTATCCGTAAAAAAACTTGGGTAGTGTATAAATAATGTTTAAAGTTGGTTTGCAGAAAGAAAATTTAGAATAGACGAACACATTCTTATATAATTGATATTATAAACATTGATAACTATAATATTTCAAGCTACATAATATAAAATACATAGAAGGAGTCTCCCATGGAACAGTGGTTAGCAAGATAATTTCACAAGAGGTTGATAAACCATAAAAAACAAATCAATCAAAATTGAAAAAGATAGATTTCAAATCAAGGCCCAGAATAAGTAGGAGTAGCAAAGGTTAGCCATAAATTATCATTTATTTAATCAAGTAGATAAACAGTAATTTTTGAATGTTTAATGTCTTTTATATTAACAAAATACCTTTTTGCAGTGAACAAGTGTTTATATGAAAAAGAAAATATATTGAATATTTAGGTTTTTATGTATTGTAATATTGTCACATGATATTAACAGTCATCAGCACAGAAAATTTTAAAAATTTAGATAGCATATTTAATGTTTTAAAGTGTTTATAAAAATATATATTCTGTCAATAATTCAATATTCTTGTCTGACCATAAAGAGCAATAACATTGCAAAATCTTTTGTCAGTCATAGATAAGTTTTGCAAACACTTCATTTATTGATAATGATGATAATAAAAATATTGCTCCATTTATCTATAGAGCACTTAAATTTGCTAAATGTCTGCTCACTTTGACATATGTAAATTACATAATTTTACATATATCAATAGGTGTGTGTGTATATATATATATATATATATATATATCTCCCAATCCTGTTGGTAATATTTCGATTAATTCCTGGCCATTGTCAATCACTTTTCTCCTTATTTTCAATGCACCATATATAGATGGATGCCAAAACTTAAAATAATTTGGTCTTTAATCATCAAATTTTTTCTACTATCAGAAATATTTAACTTGCTTGTACAGAAAATGACTAAAAAGGTAAGTAGAGTAGCAACAAAGTCAGTGGGCAGTGATGAGAAAAACCAAAACTTTACTGAGTTGAAGTTGGCTTTAAAACTGATTGTCTCATTTTTTCCCTTCCTACGAGAATTAGTTGTTTCACTATAAATGTAATCATTGGAGCAAATCAATGTTTTTACATAGTTGTTTCACAGATCCTAATGAGGACATCATGGATTACATAGGTAGGTTGTTTTTCTTTTTAAATTACTTTGTTTAACATGAAACAAATTTTAACTCCAAATTCAAATAAAACCTTCAAAGGAAAAAGTTACTGTTTTTTTGTTGATTTTTTATTTTATTTTATAAACATCTTACATAAATAAATGATCCAATAATAAAAGATGAACAGTTATTAAGATTGGGCATTGTACCACATATGACCCATGTAGGGCGTTAAATATAACCGTTATTAAGATTGCTCAAGATTAATTACTCTTTTGTGATCGTGGGATGAAGATTTAGACATTTATATTTCAGTCACAGGTGAAAGAAAATTAAGTTTAATTAAGTTAATTAAAATTTTGCTTTAAATATTTTTTATAAAATATATAAAACAGTAATGCTTCCTTCAATTCAGATGGAAAAAATGAAATTAATGACTGCAGTCTACATAAAAATGGATGACCATTGCTTTATGAGTAATATAATGTACGTTTTGAATACACAATGAAAAAATATAACCATATTCACAATTTTCCATGAGAAAAGATACCTTGATGTTATAAATTATAATGGATAAATATTAATAATATAAATGATTATATGTATGGAATATATATAAAAAAGAAAATAATTTTAAAATCAGCTTAATTTAAAAAAAGAAAAAAAAAATCCATCTGAATTGAAGGAAGCATTACTGTTTATATATTTTATAAAAAATATTTGAAAAAAAAAAAAAAAAAAAAAAAGAAGAAGAAGAAACAAACTAACATTTCTAGTCTGATCATTTATTGAACCTTGCCAAATTTGTCAAAGAACAACATTATTTACATGTAGAAGGATTAATGAAGGCTGTATGTTCATGTGTGTATGCTTTTCTAAGCTTAAAGGGTAATTTTCTTTTTTTTTTAATTGTTTCACTCCAAGCAACGCAGGGGGTTACAGGGAGTGAAAAAGAATGAAAAGACTTTAGTGGGGATGATTGAAGAAAGGACCAAGAAAGAAAAAAAAAGATTGTAGTTACCAGGGAAGTAAGAGATCAGAATGCAGTTCCACAGGTGAGAAGTGCAAGAAAAGAAATGGTTAGAATAGAAGTGGCGGTTGCATCTAGCTAGTTCAACAGTAAAATGGTGAGATCTAGTTGCCAACCTAGTATCACACTTAAATTCATGTAGTCAGGGCACCAGGGGAAAAAAGATCATCAGAACAGTTGCCATGAAAATATTTGTAGAAAAGACAAAGAGAAGCCATGTCATGTCAGTAAAAAAGTGACTGAAGTTGAAATGCCTGGTCAGGATACATTGTATTGCAGACCATCAAGAATCTTGAGATGTGCAGCAGGAGCGTATGACTGGATATGACAACAGTATTCAATGCACAGACAAATGGTAGATTTATAAATGTACAAAGTGTTTCTGATAAGAAAAAAATTTCTGGCACAACACAGTGAATCAACTTTCCTTGCAGTAGAAGTGCTAAAATGTACAACTAGTCAGTCAGGTGTTGTATTCTGGTACAATTGCATGTCTTTTAGTCTGCCAACTGGTGTGTCTAGTTATTTATATATTGGTCAGCCTAGAAACTTTACAGCTGACCCTTGTAAGCAAATAGCATAAAAGAAATTATGTACAAAGAAAAGTCAGTATTAGACTGTATGATATTTACCAAGGAAAGAGTTGGTGAAGAGAATGACTTTGAAGCAGGTTTATAGAAAATAAAAGTAGTGATTTGACATTTACTAACAAAAGAATTAATAAACAGAATTACTGACAACATATCAATAAGAATGAAAAAAACAGATAAACATTTACAGTAAGACTCAAAAAGCATTATGATAATTTATCAAAATTCAAGTGGAAAAAACAATGTACACATTACTTATGTGGAGACTGAATTTTCTCTCATTGGCTTGTCATAACAGGATACCAAACAATACACTACCACAAGAGTTTTGATCTGTTATTTTACAGCACAATCCTGGTTTCCATTTTGTATACATATATTTTGCTTATATTGAAAAATTTATTTCTTAACCAAAAGTTTATCATTTTCTTCATCAGTCACAGATAAAAAATATTATATAGGTCCAAAGTTACAAGAGATGCTGAAAAGTTCTTGGTTTAACCAAGAAGCCCCTCTAAGGAAAAAAAAAATGTTTGGTCATATTTTGAAGAAGTAGGTTTGGCTGGGAACTTTTCAAACAAACATGGTAACATGTGTCAAAGGAAGAGAAATTTATAAAACAAGTTTTAAATAGGATACAATTACTCACTTTTGCTGAGACTGTAGCCATTACGGAGGTCAATTGATCCTCCAGCATATCTCTTTCAGAGTTGAATTTCTGTTCCTTGCTTTCTAACAACTGCTGTTGAATCTAGAGAAAGAGGGGAAATTAAAAACTCACAGAACAAAAAAATATAAACATCGCAATACAGAAAAATACAGTAAAACAGAAAAAGAAGGAAAAAGAAGTAGGTCAGGGAGAAAGCATAAGAACCAGAGTAGGTATCTGTCTGTCTTGAGAGACTATATAGTTTACTAGGGAGCTCCAGGTGTCTCTTAATTGCTAATTGCAGAATAGTTTCCTATGATTTGTCTGCACCAATCCCCATCAGCCATATTGACATAAGATTAACAAGATTAAAATAATAATTAATCTTAATAAAGCTTAATGATAATTAGCATTTGCAAGCAATTATAATATAAACTGATTGATTGATTTGTTTTTTTTTTAATGGCATGTGTCATATGCCCCAGTCGACGAATGGGTTTATAAGGCGAGCATACGCCGACTAAGAGATATATACATTCTCACACCTGTGGAGAGATACAAGCTATCTCTCCCAGATCATGACAATGGACAATTGGTAAACAAAAATATTTTTAAGACCACTGTTCGATTGGGATAATTGAACAGTAATCTTTCCCAGGTCTGCTTCGTTTTCAACACGAATACTGATCCACAATACAAGGATGAACTATAAGGCTTAGTGATTTTTGATACAAGAACTTTAATATGTACAAATATCAAAATAAAAGAACAGATAAGTATGAGTTAAAACATCCGACGACCAGATCTCAAAACTTACGTTGAGATATCAAAGTTTGCCTAACACCAAATGGATTCAACTGAACCTGAACATACAAAAGTATAAGTATGAATTACTATGAATTGAATGCAGAAGCCAACACATACACAAAAGAGATGGGATAGGAGTTACAATTATTGTTTTTACATGTGGAAAGGTGTTTGCAAGAACATAATATTCATGGATGTATGTATATCTTTCTACTACGGGTCCAAAATATGATTACTTATCTTTTATCTTCAGTTCTCTTTTTTTTTTATCATTGTCCTTTCTTTTCTCGACACAAACACAATTTAACACACCGTCCGGCTGTAACAGAGGTATACACTTTCTTCCTCTCTTTGTTTTGCCTTTTTCTTTCCTTCCTTTTTCGTCTGTAGACAGTTCGATTTCCAAACCCAACTCACTGCAACAGGGATGTACACTTTCTTCCTCTCTTTGGTTTTCTTCTTTCTTTCCTTCTTTACACAATTCAGCTTATAACAGAGGTATACACTTTCTTCTCTGGTTTTCCTTTTTCTTTCTTTACACAATTCAACTTGTAACAGAGGTATATACTTTCTTCCTCTCTGGATATCCGTTTTCTTTGCTTTACACAATTCAACTTGTAACAGAGGTATACACTTTCTTCCTCTCTTTGTTTTCCTTTTTCTTTAAACACAGACTGAATCCTCAGTGTATAAAGTTCTCTGCATCTTCAATTTGGGGTTCTCGAACAGGAATACTTCTTGTTATATTTCTTGTCCAGAGTTGCCTGGGTTGAACTGGATAAGTTCCATCACTATCAAATGCATCTTATCTTTCCGTTCATAAACTCTCAGCACTTCGGCTTCAGGTCTTGCCTCTTCAAAGTCTAGATAGCAACTGATTCTCGAGTGAATCTCTGACTATCACGTGTCTTAAGTTTTGGCACGAATTCCAGCTTACATCAGTCCCCTGTCTAGCTTCTGTCTAGACATTTGTCGCTACGGGTAATTGGGTCAGTCAACCTTTTGACCTGCCTTCCCAAAATGTCATAAGACTCCCACATGACCTTTCTGTTGCTAGGCGGAAATTAACCCTAATATATGCGTATATAGGCTATCTGCTCTCATCACACATGTCAACTCCTTATGGGTCATTTAATGCCAAAATTTAATTTTCTTGGGAATTTGAAGTTACAAAAGTACAATATTCTGCTTTCACAAATGAATACATGGTAGATGATACTTAGCTTTTGTGCATAGACATTTTTGTGTGGACAATTACTAGAGGCAGTGTTTTGTTGAAGTTATATTTTGGAATAAAGTTTGATTTCTTTAAGAAATTGTAGGATATTATATGGATTTATCATGAGTTCTTTCATGTTGGTTGATTGATTTCATTTAGTGACATATCAACAGCTCTATGGGTTATTTAATGCCGAAATCTAAATATTTTACCACAATTGTATGCCTCCAACTACAGATAAAATATATTGTTGATATTTTTACTATAAAAATGTATTTTTATAGTTTCATAATGTTTTGTTTGGAGGTTCGCTGTGTTACATTGTTCCTTAAAACAAGATCTTCTGATTCATGCTACACTAATTTCCACTACTGGCCAAATGTGAATGCTCCAAAATGTAAGACTGAACTAAAATTCCATCAACTATGCATAGGCTCCACACATAGCTTCTGTTTTATTCACACATTCAAAGAAAAATACAATCCAGAATTTCCACCCAATAGCACCCACTCCTGCCTAAAGAAACAAAATTGGAGCCGATCTGAGCCTAAGAAAAGAACATAAAAGTCTATCAAAGGGACATCTTAGGCAGTCTGATGACATAACAGCCCAGATTCACAATGCCTGTCGGAACACAACCTCCCATCTTCAAAAGACAACTCACTAAAGGCTGTCATTGCAGTAAGTCACAACTCATCCTACCGTATGCCTCTGCAGACAACTTTTATAATTCCACTTATCTCCTTTCAATGAGAGACATTTACACTGATTTACAATTTGTTGTATTTTTACATTAATACAATTGTTTATTTTATCATATTTTTTATGTTTATACATTCTTTTTATAGCTACAAATATTTAAGTAAATGCTCTGTTTATAATAAACAGTATTAAACAACATTTACCAGCCTGAATGTCCAAGAAATTTTCACAGAAAATAGTCGCCCTCCAACAGGAATCGAACCTGTATCCTATTCGGAACCGTCATGTAGCCTGATGTGCCTTTAATCGATTTGGCCACAGATGAGCGTTCGGTTAGCAAGGTCGAATTTACTGTCTTTAAACTTCAATCTTCCATGAATCTCTCACGTACATTCATATCTGCTCAAAGTGCATCCAAATGTAAACAAATGATGTCACACATTATAAAATGGACAAAGTCTGACAATTATTTTAAGATATTTTTATGTTTATACATTCTTTTTATAGATACAAATATTTAAGTAAATGCTCTGTTTATAATAAACAACATTTATCGCCCTGAATGTCCAAGAAATTTTCACACAGGCCACTGATGCATTTTTTTTTTTTTTTTTTTTTTTCGCCACGCCAACTTAACCATCTCTATAGAGGAGGTATCAGACCACATTAACATTGCAGCTGAAGTAGCTTCTAACTCAGGTGAAGCATCTACACTCACCATCATGACTGATCCCAGTTACCACCGGGCAGAAATCTATCAAAAACACCTACAACAGTTCTATCTAGAACTGGAGACATCCATCCTGATGCAAAAAGACTCCCAAAATACGTCCAGACTCGTCATATCGTACAAGCTCCAAGCCAAATACTTACAAAAAAGACCCTGATTGCATCAACCACTCTGGTATCACTCAGATACACACCCACTTATCAAACTATTGGTGGGAGTTTAAAAACCACAACATTATGGCATATGTCAAATCATGCAATACCTGTGTTGGATGCAAGGGGATTACAGCAAGGGCCCAAACTGGCCCAGCAGACATTGTAAAAGAGGCAAAACACTTTTTGAGATCGTATACACAGACTTTGTCATGATACCATTCTCAAAGGGCAAATGCTATATCTTAACGATTTTGGACAGCTTTAGCTGACATCTCACAGCCATTCCCTTTGTCAGAGACCGTGCAGTTGATGCAGCTCATGGACTCAATTTTTCCTCCACCACTGGGAGATACCCTGTATCATGTCTTCCGACTGTGGCACCCACTTCACAAGTGAAGTGGGTAAGAACTTCTGCAAGATGACATCAGTCACACAGCACATTCACTGTCCTTGACATCCACAAAGTTCTAGCAATATCAAATGACAACATCGCACATTAAAGAACACTCTCTATATGCTCTGTGAGGACAGGAACTGTGAATGGACCGATGCCCTTGAATCTGTTGTATCATCTATGAATGCCAATAGTGTAACTGGCATCTTGCCGCATTACATTATCACCGGTTGGCACCCCAACATCAGTTTACCCAAACAACCCCACCAGAACATTACCGATGATGACCTTGGTGCTTACAACATGCTGATAAATGCCTTGCTGCGACAAGTCCACCAACAATGAAGCCGACCACAAGACAAATATCTGAATTGGCTCATCTATAAAGATCTGATACAGGCTGGAGACAAAGTCTTACTCCACAGATCCCATTCAGCCACAGCCCACATATCACATCTGCCTTGGACAGGTAGTTACCAAGTCATCAAGACGAACAACATAGTACTCCAAATTGTAAACAGTCATGGTGAAACTAGTTGGGTCTATCGTGCTCACATACATCATCTTGTATCCCAGCCTGACCACCTTATTTATATGAACTTGGCCCTCCTCCACAGACTCTCCAAGCAATGCGCAACTTGGCACCTTGCCCTTTGTCTGACGATCATGTAAACCATGAGGACACCAGATCTAGCAATCTCAAATAGTTATCAGTCTTGATATTCCAAAGAAGAAATCCCAAAAGACAAACACACGTGGACAGCTACAGAAACATTTTAAAAATTTCGTTATGCACTTAAAAAAAGAAAAAGAAAAAAAGAGCATCACCACACCATACATACAATACACCAACCCATCCATGAATCAGAATAAGATCTAGGGGAGCTGTTACATTCTTCCTAAAATAAGATCTTCTGATTCATGCTACACTCTTTTTGTAAAATACATCTATTGGATGCTTTGGTACAAATCATCAGTAATATTTTTAGCTGAGGTTCATTAGGGGTTTTGCATCTTCAACATCATACCCACTCTCCACGGTGACCCAGCTGATACTGATACTTGTGTACCTTCCGTTAGCTACAATTGTTTCCATCCTTCTGACAACACACTACAACTCCTCTAGGCAATTTATAGTCCAATCCCAGATAACTTCCGGTTCACCAGCAATGTGTGCCCTTCCATAAAAAAAGGAAGCAAACGCGGCCACAGTTTCTAACTGGTACTCCATCGACTGTGCATAGGCTTTGCACAGTTTCCAATTTTACTCGCACACTCAAAGAAAAATACAATCTCGCCTAAAGAAACAAAATAAAAAATTGGAGCCAATCTCAGGCTAAGAAAAAGGATATAGAAGCCCATCAAAGGGATATCTTAGGTAGCCGAATGGCATAACAGCATTGGATTCACAAGGCTTGTCGAAATGTAGCCTCACATCTCCAAAAGACAACTTGTGAAAGCCTGTTGCCACAGTAAGTCAAAACTCAACCCCCCTCTCCTATCATATGCCTCTGTGGACAACTTTTACAATTCTACTTATCTCCTTCTATCGATCAGAGACATTTACACCAATTTACTATTTGTTGTATTTTTACATTAATACAATTATTTCTTAAGCTATCATTGTTTCCTCTTCATTCTACCACCATATACTTAATATAGCAATTATTTGCCTATAACTTGAACCCTAACAGGTTCTACCACTCTGGGTCAGGGAAAACCCAGGAACAACAGCAATTAAGAGGTAGTTCCACACTCATCAAAACCTCCAATCTTTTGATCTTGCTGCTGGATGTAGTTTATCGTCATACCCAGGACCTATAAAGAGGAAGTAGTTTGAGATTAAAAAGGCTTTCAAAGTTGTCACTGAAGTAAATAGAATTATAAGAAAAAGAATAAATTTTGTAAATACCTGATACTTGTCACTCAGTCCTCTGTATTTGATATCAAGATTTTCCATTTGGCTAACCAGTTCCTTATTTTTCAGTTCAAGGTTTTGATTTTGCTCCTCAGATTCCTGAATAACAAAATAACATCCAATTTATCAAAGACAAACATGAGTGGAGACATGTGTCAACAAAACTTTAATTGCTGATGACATGAGAATTGTTTTTGTAAGTATTCCAAATAAAATTTTATAATGATCAGTGCAACTTTACTACATACTAATAATCAAATAACTTTGTCTCACTCAGCTTTTTTGGAAAAGATTTATGCACTTGTTTTTTATAAAGTATTATGTTTAACAGTGATTCATTCAAAATGTTTATGGCCTGTCTTGCTTTCAATGAGCAAACAATACTTGGCAATGTTTAACGTTTATGCCCACAAAAACTGTGTCAAAAGGATAGTTATTCTCTTGACACTACTATTACTGTATACACTTTTCACTTTCTTGTCAATGTTTATTATTTTAAAAAGTGTAATTACAATTTTAATAAAACCCAAACATAAAAGTGGATTTATACATTTTCTTTATTCTTGAGAATTGAAAACAAAGATATTAAACACTATTTATATATTAGATTATTTACAAGAATAATTTTATCTGTCTATATTTCTGAGATGAAGTATTATGTACACTATTTACATTATTTGGACTATTGTTCTCATCATGTTGCCATATTTATCACAATGATTCAGCCGCTGTACGCTCCAGCCTTCTTCAGGTGGTTGGAATGTCAAACTGAACCCTTTATTTTGCTCACTTGGGTAGACTGTTCTAGTTCCATGTGCCATGTCTAATGGATGTCAGTTATCAGTTATCTCCAGTTAATTCTACTCTCCAAATTCTCCACTGCCTTAACCAGGTATTGAACTCACACTATTTGGGTCCTGGATCCACTGGATCTAACTAACGCCTTTATCCACTGTGCCATGAGTCCTTGAGGATATCTGTGTATGAATTTCTGGGTATTATAAAACCTAATGTCTTCAACCATTTTTTACCATTGCATGTTTTTACCAAAGTTCATATTGCAATTTTTGTTGTTATTATCGCTTTTCTCTGGCACTCCTTATTACTGGTTCCCATATTGTATTCATTTCTATGCTTGGTCAGCTCAGGAGATTTTTGTGGCCTAGCATATGTGCTGATTCCTTAAGTTTACAAATTTTCCAATGATGCTCTTTGTCTATGAGGATGGTGATTCTCTCTATATGTGCTATCCTGTGCAGCTGTGGAAAGAAATATAAAGGGGAGATAGGCTGCCCCCTTAAGGTAAGGCTTCAAGAACACCAGAAAGCTGTAACACAAGGGGAAGTGGAAAAATCAGGAGTGGCTGATCTTTTCTATCACAATCTGACAAAAAGGAAACATTTTGACAATGACAACAAAAAGTCCTTTTAATGTTTTATCAGTAAAGTACTTGTAAAATCTCTTACGCTGGTAAAGTGTTCATAACAAGTTTGTGTATATCAGTTTGTGTATGTTACCTTAAGCTGATTGGTTAATTGTTTGATTTCATTGCTCCTTTCCAAATCCAACTCAGATGCAGTTCTTCCCTGTTTGTCCATATCTCGCATTTTGCGTTGGTATTTCTTGTGCAACCGTTCATGCTCATTCCTTAACCTGGATGCCTAGCATCAAAAGATAAAGATAAAATTAGACAATAATTGATAATTACTGAAAGTGAGAATCTTGATGAAATTTTATCTTGTGCTTCTTCTGAAAGATACCTAATTTCAGCCTATCTTTTTTACTAATATCTTTGTATTCAAATATTTGTTACATATAAAATAAGAATAATTGGTAATTTACACAATTCAAGCATTGTTGCAGTTTAACATTACATGATTTCAGAATTCATTTTTTAAATTTTTTTTGCACTTTGTGCAAAGTCTTTCTAATACTCCATTGAAAATATTTCAACAACACAAAAATCACACTAAAAATAAGACCTGTGTACATTTCCAAGAAACAGCAATGCTATCTATACTCATTCTTTCTTATACAGTATGAGCGTGGATTAAGAAGTTTGTCATCTAGTTACGAGCTGAATTTTGATCTGAAATGTTCAGTGTATATTTGGTCTAAATGATTAACAGATCACTGAAATAGGGACATGAACAAGAAAGGAGATTATATTCAAAAATATTTGTTGTGTAGAATAAATGTTTTTTCATCATTAGGTTACAGACTTATTGTTATATCTACATAGACAACATTATTATTTAAAGAACAGCATTACTGCAATTATTTTATTATCTTGATACATTATAAATTTTATAATATAGTTTATCAAAATAAGCATGGGACATGGAATAACTGTATAACACTTAAGGCACAGTTTAAGATTATTATTTTACTAACACTATTATATAAATAATCTTTTTTTTAAATATGAAGAAAAAACAAAGATATAGCAGTCAAAAGTAGAAAGATAAAGGAAGTTGTAAAAAGTCAATCAAACAGGGTACATCCATTTTCCAATCATGAAACTGTCTCTAAAACATTCAGTTTTATTTTCAATCAGAAGTATTCAGACACACAACATAACCATTTAATAAAAGAAACATTTTAACTACTGCAAAAAGATTTAATTAGGCAAAATGAAGGATTTTCATAATCCAAAAAAAATCTTGGCAAATACAACTGGAAAACTCTTCTTTCATTTGGAATAGTTTCACCAGCCATAATTATGAATTTTTAAATCTTTTTCAATCAATACTGTGCCATTTATTGCTGGCTTTTTCACTCTTATATTTGTATTTTATTTCCAAATTTCTGGAGAAAAAAAAAGTTCTTTAAATTACAATGCTAACATTTCTGCTTTTTCTCTTTACATTTATGTATTGCTTCAGTATAAGAATATTAATAATGTTTTCAGTCTTTATCTTGTCTATCTTTGATTTAGTTCACCTCAATAATCATAACTCCCATTCTAAAGCCATAATTAAGCAACAACAGTCAATAGAAATAGCCAACCTAATGTAAATACTTTTGTTTACACTAACTATGCCATGAAAAATGATGATATATTGTATTATGTCCTTACTATTATTAAGTGAATTATTAATTTTTAATGTGAATTTTCCAATATATCTTTTCTTATTATTATTGATGTACTTTGCTCTATCATGGAATTGGTGTATTATCTCAGTCTACCAGTGCCATAACAAAGACACTGTCACCCACCTTTGTCAATGCCAGGGAGATAACTCTAATATAACAAAATGTTAGACATTACATGCAAAAATCATACAAATAGACTTGGCATTTTATACAGTATGATATATATATATAAAATGAAAGTGAAATTTACATTCTAATACTGATTTTTGTTTATATATATATATCTCAAAAGTACTCAAAAAGCTTGGCATACCTGAAAGTATGCTAAATGTCATCATCTTGTTTCACAAAGGAATGAGAGCATCCATTCTATCTAATGGAGAGTTTTCAGAAACCTTTGATGTAACAAATGGCACAAAACAAGGTTGTGTCATGGCTCCTGTACTTTTCACTCTCTTCGTTTTGGTCATGCTGCACCATGCTTTTAGGGATCTTGACATGGGTGTGAAATTTGAATTCCTCACAAGTGGTAGCCTCTTTAACCAATGTTTTAAAGTAAAATCGCTGACTCGATTAAGCATTATTCATGATCTTTTGTTTGCTGATGATGCTGCGATCATGGCCACCTCAATCGAAGAAGCTCAAGCACTCGTCAATCGTTTTTCACTGTTTGCAATGCATTCGGATCAACTATAAGCATAAAGAAAACTGAAGTTGTCCATCAACCAATGCTTACACCTAAGCAGGTCAAGGGTGTAAAATAAAAACCACCTGCCCATACCTTTCCAATTATTCCCGTTATCATTGGCAGCAACAACTTGAAGTATGTAAAATCATTCTCATACTTAGGAAGCAAAGTCAATTCAAGTGCCTTTTTGGATGATGAGATAATTACCCGAATATCAGAGGCAACCAATGCCTTTGGTAAGCTTAAGCATAACCTATGGGATGTTCATGGGATCTCACTGAAAAATCAATGTCTATCGTGCAGTCATTATCACCACACTTCTTTATGGGTCAGAATCATGGACGCCTTACAGGACACACATCAATCAACTTGATGCTTTTCATAAACGCTGTCTTTGTTCAATATGCGGTTATACACGGCAGGACAAAATCTCTAACCCTGATCTTTTCATCAAATGTGGTGTTGGTGGTATTGAATCCTTTCTGATGCAATTACAGTTCAGATGGGCTTGTCATGTCATCAGAATGAGTGATGATCGGATGCTGAAAATCCTAATGTATAGCCATCATTTTCATGGTTAGCGTAACATAGGCTGTCCTTGGCTATGCTTCAAGGATAAACTTAAATACAATTTAATTGCTACAGTCATCCCTATAGAGGAGTTCAAACTTGCTGTTGAAAACCATTCAAACTGGAGAAATACCTGCTACCAAGGTATAACTAACTTTGAAAAGAATCATCTCAACCATCTGAGAGAATTAAGAATTGACACTAAATCTCAGGCTAATACATCAGCCCATATGACGGTCAACCCTTCAGTATGCCCTTCATGTAGATTTGTTTGCAAACCCCATGCAAGTTTGTTGAATCATATGAACATAAACATAAAAACTGAACTGAAAAACACTCATATGTTGAAAACAATGGGAAAGTCCATCATATATATATATATATATATATATATATATATATATATATATTGTGTATTTAGGCAGCATTTTTTCATTCATACATGTTTCATTAAATAACATAGACAAGTGTTGTCTATCTATTTTATGTAAATTCTTTTCATAACGTCTGATAATCTTAATAACATTATCATTAAACGAAGAAAGAAAATCACAATATTGATACATATTTTTTAAGATTTTGTTTTTAAAAGCTTTCTTACCTCTGCCTTGAGATCTGAGAGTTGAGTTTCATACATATGTACCACATCTTGCCTTTCTTTAGCTGTATTATCCAACTGGCTGTGTAATGTCATAATCTAAGAGAAACAAAAGAAAATATAACTCATTTGATCATTTCAACTCAAATTTCAAATAACAGATAAGTAAAACATTTTCTTTATATTAATTCTTAACTAGAAATGTGCAAAATAAAATAAATCTTAAAGCATTACAATTGTGAAAAGTTGTGCTTTTAAAATTTAATTTACCATTCAATAAACTTACTATTAGATTAAAATGTCTACAAAGCATATACACAGCAGAGAATTTTTTAAATCCTGTAAACAAAAAAATCCTTATGGAAATAGTAATATATTTTGAAACTAAATAATCCATGTAGCTACAGTTTTATTTCATATTAACCTATTAAAAAAATCTTGGATACTTATTAAAATATATTGTGTAGTATATGTTTTAATAAATTTAACTACACAAAAAATTGTCATAACAGTTTTTTTTTAAATTTAGAATACTTTAAAACAAGATATAATAAAGTTTATATATTAACTAGTATACCTGTACCATCAAAATTGATGGCAAGAAGGAATGTATTATAAGAAATATGTATTATATTGTAATTTTCGTTTAATCCAAGTATAATTTTGTAATTTAAAATAGTTTGTTGTTAATGTTAATAATTGAACAGTGTACAATTTATAAACACCTCAGGAAAGATATCCGTATTTTATCCTTATTGTATGTGTGCATGCACATAGCTTTTGTACGCATACTTTTGTGACACACCTTGGGTGTTCTTGAGAGTCAAATTTGCTGAGAAATTAGAACATATCACTAGTGATAATCAATCCCATAATCCAAGATACCTTGAAGAAAAGTAACTTTATGTAAAATTTAATTCAAGCTGAAATAAAATATAAACCTCAGCCAAGTTTTGTCTGACATATATTTATCACCTCTCTCTATCCCTTTCTATTTCCCCACCTCTCTTTCTTTTTTTGTGGCTACTTCCCATCCCTCCTTTCAATTTGATCATAGTTTGCAGAGAGAGGGAAAGATGGTGATTGTTTTCTAGTGTGTCAGCATGGTAGTTTTTTGCATGTGGACATGAATGGGGTCATGACTTTTGTGTTTCTCATGTCAAAATTTTGTACAATGCCCCTCAAATGTTACACAAAAAAAAAAAACAAACTAAAATATGTTTATGTGTGTGTATGTAATGTGGACTGTATTATTTTTAAGGATTAATGACATTTCAAATCCCGAAACTGTGAAAACTAATTTAAATTTGTGACCTAAAGGCTTGTTAAAACTAAAATTTCCAAATGCAAACTTTGGTAGAACATGAATATTTTCCCCCACACAAATATGTAACATTTCTGACAATATCCCAGTTCCTAAATATGGATACTTCTGCTAAATTCCCATGACCCTTTAAAGATTATGGAGTATTTTTTTCAAAAGAACCTTTTTAAAGTTTTCATCAAGTGTTTGTTTTTGCTGCAAACATTCTTTGGTCTTTGATTCCAGTTGTTTCTGGACTCTTCTTGTCTGCTGCCTCAGTTGATTTTCTCGACTCTTCACCATAATGTCAATCTGTCGTACCAGTTCTTGCAACTCCTGCTCACAGGAACTCATCAGCACACCACCTAAAGGAAGCCTGCATACAAACAGGAAAAAAAAAGTAAATACCAACACATAGACAAACCCCATATGTTTTTTAATTAGCCTAAATAAAGAATAAAAATGTAATGAATAGACTGTTTTGCTGGTAAATATAAATAGCGTTTTAGAACTAAGAAAAAAAATAGAACAATAAACAATATTCATTCAGTATAGCCATGGAAATGGAACTCAGTGTTGGAAATACTTTCAGTTCATTTGCTGAACTAGAAGAAAAACTAAAACATTACCAATCCACTATATGCAGTTGTGGAAAACTGACAGCAGAACAATTGCTACAGCTCAGAAGAGAATGCCAAATCACCAGTTCAATCCTGAGATCAAGTACTAGTTCAGAGACTTCTATATTTCTTTTAATAATTGATGGTTAATAAATGATTTTAACTTATGTTTTAACAAGTAACGGTAGAAAAGATTTTAAACTATCTTAACAATTGATGGTGAAAATGGTGAAATGTGTGTTATTATTTTTAACTTGCTTTTATAATAATAAAAATATTTACTGGCAAAATAGCCTGGGGTTTGTTTTACAGAGAAAATAGCTTCTTCCAAAATGTAAAGCTGAAATTTTTTCATTAAATTTTCATGTAGTGATAATTCATTATATGCTTAATGTTCACATTTGCTTAGTTTTAACACTTTTGTTGCTAATATAGTGATTCAGTCAAATCATTTTCTTAATGTTTGCTTTTTCTTTTTTCTTTTTTATTTATTATAATATTTCTGTCTCTGTACTTTTTGGTATTACTCAGGAATTTTCAAGCAAATTTCCCAGGAAGAAAATTCTATTTAAAAAACAAAAGTAAATAAATAATAGACATATTGGTCCCATTCTTGTACTGGTTTCATCCAGTATCATTCCTAAAAAATCCCCCCCACACCAAAAAAAAAACCTATTTTCATTAAAATAAATAAAAATACAAGTAAGTAAAATAATTGGACATTGTTCTGGATTTCAGAGATAGTGAACTTACTTGTTCTCTCGCTGGAGATCTTTCCACAAAGTAGTGGCATGGTTTTCCATATCTCCCACTGTGCCGTGATAGCACTCATCAAGCTCTGTCATAAAATTCTGCAACTGCTCAAGATATTTGGCTGAAAAGGTAGAAAGGGGAATAAAAAAAAATTATAATATTTTGGTTTTTGTTTTCAATTAAAATAAAAATGTCTTAGATTGCTCATAACTTATATAGCAGTTGTTAATTATACAAAAAAAAAAAATAAATAAATAATGAAAATTGTAACTTTTGTAAAATGATATTTCTGAACAAAACTAGTTTTCACAGGCACCCGCCTTAAAATATGGAATTAAAATATAAAAGAACGAGTAAAACAATAAATAAAACACGCAAATAAATAATTTGATTTTTTTAAAAAGTAAATTATGTTTAGTTTATAATAACCAAGAAAAAGCTAAGTGTGATTATGAATATACTTTCATTTTTGACCATTTATCAATGCATCCAAAGCCAAACTAAAACGATACATCAAGTTAGAATAAAAAAGTATAACAACATTGTTTATTGATTTGACGGTGAAAGTAGGTCACTGTCAATAACCCTAGTAAAAAGTCCACTTAAATATTGATTTTTCGTCCAATCATTCGGATACCAAAAATTATGCTAATTGACACGAAAGGGAATTTCATCAATCATTTCATTGCATCAAGTTAAAAAAAAGTAAAATGAGGAGCTATGAGTTTATGTTGTCATGGTGTTTTAGTTATTGTTTGTATTTAATTTTTATATAGTCTTTTTTTTTTAGACTTTAAACTTGTATTTTAAGTTTTTAAACTATTATCATTTACTATATTTGTATTATCTAGTACAGTTCCTGAGAGGAATATTTAAAAATAAAAAGGTTTTATTTGTTTATTTAACAATAAATTCAAATGAAACCATTTTTCTTTTCTTTTTCTCAGAATAAAGACCAATAATATATCCTCAACCAATTCAATTAAAAATACAAGTGTACGTTTTTCATTAAAGTGATGAAAGGAAAAGCAATTAAAAATTCCAACAAAAGAATTTAAACTGTTTAAAATATTTAACAAATTAAGGAATTTACAATACATGCTGCTGCAAAGAAAAGCAAATATAAATAAATACATTAGAAATACAATATGTAATTAATTTCACAATTGTCAATAATGTTTTACTTATATTATTTTCTACCTTTGATATTTCTTGTAGATGAACATGTCGGTGAACGACATGAACGAAAAGAGAGATTCGACCAAGAACCACTCAAATCAGGCAAGCTTCCAGCTGTAAAACTGGCCATTTCTAACTTTCTTCAAATATTCACTTGTAAAAGACTCTTAAAAGACAGAAAAACAGATATGATCTTGTTTTCCAATATAATGATCAAACGAAATTTCCAAGTTTCTTTTCCTAGGTCGTTGTGAAGGAAAAGTGACGTCTTGTTGAAGGTAGTTATTCCACGTTTCTTTTACTCTCTCTCTCTTTGGATGTCGTTGCTCCAACATGTTGAAGTAACAGTTATTTTGTTCTTTTTCCCAAGCTTGGACAGGTTCGTACTTGATAAAATGCGAGGAAAGGGACTCGCTGAAAGAAAGCTCAAATCAGGATCAGAGGCGGGCAAATTTGAAATCTATAAGTAATCGAAAACAAAGCTGTTGTTTACCAACAACAAAGTTTACAGCTAAGATTAACTCTACAGATCAATTATTAAAAGAAATTTAGAAACAGGAAGAAGACAAATGATGTTCTTACCTGTTTAGGCATTTTCCAATTAAAGATTTCTAAATGATTTTCGGTGGTAAAATGTACAAATGTCAGGAAAATACCACCATGCTTGACAACAGCATCAGCTTCAATATCACTTCCGTTGTAATGCCGGAAGTGACCTCACTGTCTTGTTTCAGTCTGAAAAAGTAGGTGGTGTGAAAGAAAATGAAGCTTTGCACCGCTAAATAAAAGGTTTAAATCTTATAATTCCATTGGAAAAAGTAAAAATCGAAAAGCAAAATGCTGGTTTTGCTTAAAGACGAACATAAGGAACATCTGAAATTTCTGACAGGCGTCGAAGTTGGCGGTATTGAATTTTTTGTTTATTTTCTTTCACTTGTATTCTCTGTGAACATTTTTTTTGCCAGACTTAAAGCATGGTTTTTATGTTTGTGGTTCCAATAAAATACGGAGTTGTAGAAAGTCGTTACCACAAATGTTTAAATTCTATAAGAAAAACTTTTGTTAGCACAAAATCTATTTTGACATGCAAGAAAAGTCCAACTCGTTCACACGGTCGAAAATATAATCCTGTTCGCAAATAAAACAATTTTTCTATGAATGTGTTTATTAGTTTATCCCTGTATCTGTTTAGTTGCTTGTTTGTTGAAAAAACATGATTGTTTATTAAAGATTAGGAAGTAATCTGAACAAAGAAATAAAAATCGTTTGATTAAGCACTCTCACCACATCATGTTCTGATTTCGGAAATCGGTCGTAAAATCTTTTCTATGCGAAAATTACAATTCTCAAAATTGTGGATTCGCGAAAACTTTTTATATTTCAAGTGAATCGGGATATTTATAAGTTGACTTTTTTTTAACGCATGTTTATTTTGAATGAAACAGTTATTGATAGAAAAAAGATTTCTTTTTTAGATTTTAAAATTAGAAAAGCTTTTACAGCCCCTTTGTTATTTTAAAAAAGCTCAAGTAAAACTTGAATGTAAAATTGTGTTCTAAAGTAAAACTGATAATTTTAGTTTTCTAATTTAACTTGCATATCTCAAGAAGCGTAGCACAACATTATCCGGTTTCGTTTAAACGGACTGACTAAAAAAAATCATGGTAAATTTGCAGATAATTCCCCAGTGACCAATTTAAAAAAAAAAAACGTATTATTCCTGGTGTTAAAAAAAAACAAAAAACGCCTGATTGTTTACCAAATTAATTTTTAACTTTTGTTGATGTTCTTATTCCCGGTAATAATCAACAAACAAAACGCCCGGTGTCTTGTAACCTGTCACTTCAGGTAGCACTTCCTCATTGTATTTTTTTGATATGCGACAATAGCCTAATTTCTGGACATCCATCACGCGACCTTTAGCTATGTGTGGGTGTCCCCACACATTTTAAAAGAAAGACTCTGTTCCGCACTTCTCTTACCTAATTACTGTTGAAACGACTGTGACAGTCAGCAATTTTTATATTTCTGTGTAGTCTGTGATTCTATGAAATTTTTAATTAATAAAAAAACATAATCTCTGAATTAGAATTGTGTGCATCATTGTTTTCAATTTGACATTATTATTCATAGAAAAAAATTCTTTAAACAATAGTGTCCATAAAATAAAAGTTATTATTAAAAGCTTTTCTCATTAGTGTCTTATTCCATTTTTTTTTCTTTTTAATTTTACGATTCAGAGCAGATATTCGGTAACGGGGGGGGGGGGTGCTGTTTTACAAAAAACAATTGATTTCTCCAAAGATTTCTGCGTATATAACTAAAACATTCATTTTTGAAATTAAGCTTTTTAGTGGTACAAAAATGAATTTCTCAAAATTTCATAAAATTTAATAAGTTCTGGGTAACAGATTTTTAAAAAAAATTTAATTCATTTGGGAATAAGCCCTGAAGTTTCATGAAAACCCAACAATTATTTGATTTTTGCAAGAATTTCCAAATCAATATAAAAATTAAAATTAAAATTTTCCTATACTAATCTTTGGTCCCCCACCCCAATCAATGCAAGAAAAATAAGATTTTTTAATCAAAATTTTGAACTTTCTAAAAAGGATAAAAAAAAATATTAATAATAATTAAAAAAAGCCTTTAGTCTTTCCTCTTAATAACAGCATAAAGATTTGGATGATAAAACTTTGTTTTTATTAGGTTTGGGGTGTTTTTTCATCATAGTATTCTCATTTTTTAGTAAATCTGTGGAGGTCCCAGTTTGAATTATCTAACGTTGGCCTTAGAATATGTTCTAATACTCATTTCATATAGCCTCAAAATTTCCCAATAATTAGTCAAATTTCAAAATTTTCTTGGTGGCTTGCAGCCACCTTTTCTACATCTATTTAATAATAATTTTTTTTTATTGTCTCACCCCTCACTATGGCTTTTCAATGTTCTTGTATATGCTTGTTGAATTCACCAGAATCTATTCACAGCCTACATTTTGGCAGTTGGATCCTTGAATTTAGCTGGTTGTGAAGGAACCCCCATATCTGTTGGTGCAGCAGGGCCTCAAAACCTAGATCAGCCAATGATAAATAGTGATTTTGTTCATAATCTATATTACTTTTTGACTACAATACATTCTTCTTCATATGCATATTTTCTCCATGCTGTACACCTTGGTCAATGTAACTTACGAGTAAGATTGTGGTTACATTATTAACAGCAATGTTGTTCTTTTAATTCTTGAATCACTGTTGGTCAATTAGTTTTTCATTTATTTTTGTTTCTTTTTATTGCAACTCTCAGATTGCTTTTCTACATCTATTTAAAAAGCAACATATGGGATACAAGTGAGTTCAGAACTTATTGAAATCTATTTATTTTCTGATTCATGCTACTTGCTCACCTCTCTTTAGAATATAAAATGGTTTGGATATTGTGAAAAAAAAATGGAAGGAAAGCTAATAAAACTGTAAATGTGGTATACTGTGTGTATAATATATATATATGTGTGTGTGTGTGTGTACATGTTTGATTCAATAGTTTTTTTTCCATCTCAAGTATCAAATATGAGGTTTACTTCCACAAATTCACCAATAGTATGATAGATTTTGTTAATGTTCATTCAATCATTTTTTGAACATGGTGCAAATAAATATCGACAGGACTCCTTTTGTGAGCAAAAACAGTATAGGCAAAATTTTATACAAAATATGGATCATGGTCACATGTTTAAAAAAAATAAAGAAAAATACTCTTCTTAAAATTTGCCTATCTTTTACATGACAAGTGGACTAAAAATGAGATTTCAAAAATTGTAAAAATCCATTACATTGCCTTTGTTAATCAATTCATTTTCATGTTTCAAAATCATTCTCAGTTTTAAAATGATGTATTTTATACCTATTCATCAAATGTGTATATTGTTTTTATATTACAGTTGTTCGGGAATTTTGCCGGATTTCCATAGAATTCATAAAAAATGGTTGCAATCCTAAAGTTTATCAGAGTGCAGCACGTAAGAGTTATTTTTAATGTCTGAGATGAGATATTGTTACTATTCATTTTTTTTTCTCTCCTCTCAGGGTATCTTCCTCCACTTTTATATTTTTCAACCTAACAATATAACTGGTTATTTACATTATTTACATGCAGACTATTGTCCTCATCTTTGTTGATGTTATCCAGTCTTTGTTGTTGTTATCCAGTCTTTATCAGTTGTATGTCAATCTGAGTAAACTACCAGGAATTTGAAACTGAATCCTTTATTTAATCTACAGGGATAGATTGTTCTCTTTCCACTGCCCATATCTTGGGATATCTTGTTTAGTTCACCCCCACCCCTATTTATAATGTGTTCAAGTACACACTACACAGCCCAGAGGTTGAACTCACAATTACTATGTCACCAAATTCATGGGCCAATGCTTTAGTCAACTTCTGATGAGTACTGCTGCTTGTCATGCTTGACTGCATTTGCTGAAACATTTCTGTTGTTACATCTGCTTCTGCCGTTGAAGAACTGTTGCCAGTTCTCTTTCTTTATTAGCAGCTCCTGTATTTATTTCTATACTAGGCCTACTAAAGAGATCCTCATAGCTTATGCACTTATTCTTTGAAACATCTAACTCTCCAGTGTTCTTCCTCATTCAGTATTTTCTCTTCATTCTTTTCTTGTCCTACATGATCAGCTATGCCTGATTTTATTGTCTCACCCATCACTATAGCTTTTCAATGTTCCTCCAGTCTTACTTTTAGTGGGCAACTTGTGTTTCACTTTTGTCTTTTTTGCCATAACTGCCACATTCTCCTGATGTTGTATGGGCCGCAAATCTTAATGTTTTCCAATAAGTGTTTGATGTAAGACAGACTGGCAATTTTCTGCTCTTCCTCCTTCACCCTTGTTTCCACCTGCAGATGCTGTTATGTTTGCAGGATGCTTGTTATTCTGAAGGGTATGCTTGATCCTGATTATTTCCTGTTGGTATGTGTCTAAGGCATTGTCCTGTGAAGGTTGGCTTGTGATATACAGATGTCTTGAACCCATTGTCTACTTATTAGTACATTCAGGAAGGCTAGCTGTTGTTTTCTTCTTTCATTGTGAACTGGAGCAAAGCTTTTGAGTTCACATGGTCCCATAGTATTTGTACATCTTCCAGGTGAGGCCAGAGTATGAAGGTGTCATCTACATATCTCAGCCATACTGTTGGCTTCAGTGGTGCTGCTCCTAAAGCCGTTTCCTCAAAGTATTCCAGGTATATATTCACCATCACTGGTGACAACAATGAACTCATAGCCAAGCCTTCCTCCTGTTGGTATCTGTCATACTTTAATTGGAAGAATGTTGTCTGTATACAGAACATCAACATTTCCATCAGATTATCTATTAGAATGTTAGTATGTTCTCCAAGTGAGGGGTTCTGATTCCAATTTATTTCAAAACGCTATCAGGGTCTCATCTGTAGAAACTCTAGTGAACTCACCACATCCAAACTTACCATCCAATTTTTATGGATGGGAGCCCCTCAGATCAATTCCACAAAGGGTTCTGAAATCCTTATATATGATGAGGACTTGCCCTGCCAGTGGATCGACTATCCACCAGGAATCAGCTCAGCAGGTGGCATACCAAGCTCCTGCAGCTGATTATAGGTCTCAATTAAATACCAACATTGTGAATCTTAAAGACCATACATATGTGATAGCTTGGTATAATTTTGAGTCCGTTGTCTATATTAATTCAGTGTGAAGTAGTCCTTGTTCTTATTTAGAGTCTGTGATAGCTTCCTTTCTTATTTTAGGGTCAGATCCTTTTCATCTTGCTGTGTATAGGATGTGCATTGTGGTGTGATGGATATCGGCTTGGAATGAGAAATCGAAGAGCCAAGTTCAAATTTCAGTCAGATTTGTTACATTCACTCATGTGCAAATACCTTTGGAAAAGGTATGAATCCATCTCTTCTCCCCACTCAGCTATGAATAGTAAGACAGACTGGTTTCTATAGCTTTGGTCTACCACAGAAAGAAAGGGTAACCTACTGCAGGAAACTTTTCTGCCTTGTCAGTCATAAATCAAAAGAAACAAGATCACCAAAGTGTTTATCAACTATGGCACTTAACTGATTGATACCTACCATCCCCAATTAGGCTTGACAACTTTTCAGAGTATTACAAACTTATCCATCACCACTGTTTGTCAGCTGTCAATATGATGATACTAGTGTCATTGTGTAAGGTCTTGATTACCAACTTTCTCTTGTAATATTTGATTTAGCCTTGGCCTTTTCTAGTGCTTGTCTCACTTTCCATCTTAACTCATTTGCTTGGTTCTTCAGGATTTTCTAGGTAATCTCCTTCATTAGAGCTATCATGTCTAAGTATTGAACAAAATAATCATATGAGTGCAAAAATGCTAATTTGTGTCATTAATTTTGGAGTTAGGACAGTTTTATTCTAATATATATTATTACTTTTTTTTTTTCAGAAAAGCTTGAAGTTGATGCTGAAACTGTTCAGTATGCTGTTGAAGGTTTAATGTATTTGCTAAGTGAGACTTCAAAACTAATGGTAAGTAATGAGATATATATACATATATTTTGTGCCAAAATTTGTGAAACTCCAAAATTCTTAGGGATTATCATCATTACCTTGAATATATATGATATATGAAAACTTTAATTACTTAAGAAATGTACTATTTGCCATTACATGAATAGATTTACCATTAAAACATATATATTATAATCAAAAGTCCCAATTTTAAGATCTTCAGAAATGTAATTATCCCAAGATGTAGTAAATTATTGAAGCGCTATATAGGTTCCTTTTATGGTATCTTTTTGGGGTAACAGGATTTAACTTGGCTGTATTCACCTCTTCTCAAAATAAAACATCACATGTTATACTGGATTGGTTGATAGCAGCAGCCAAAGAGTAAATCGTGACCTTGCTTAATAGAAGAGGTGGATTCATGTCTTTCTCATGGGGATTAGTGCAAAATGAACCCAAGCTTATTTAGCTAGAATTTGAAATCTGATGGCTGATTCTATTTTCTGTGTCAATAAGCATTATGACACCACTACATCACCTTTTATAAAACATCATTAATATATAAATTGGCATACTGCCCTATGTTGAAACACCAGATCTTGTATGATCACTAAAGTTAAGCCATGTTGAATCTGGACAGCACCTAGATGGGCAACTGCTTGGGAATACCAGGTGCTGTAAGCTTGGATGTGCAGGTGGTATAATGGATCAGAATTGGAGATCAGAGAGCCAAGTTCCAATTCCACTTGAATTTGTTATATTCACTTATGCTCAAATACCCTTGGGAAAGGTATAAATTCACCTCTCCTCCTTTCAGCTATTGGTTAATTAGTAGGACATATCAATAAATCACTACTGTTTCCAAAACATTCTAAAAATCTAAAAAATATTTTCTGGCTTTAAATAACCTGTAAAAGGTTGATAAGCCATGAAAATCAATTAATATGTAAATTTTTTATATTGAAGCATCTAAAGCAAGTGCCAGTATGTAGAGTTATCTTTGTTTTGTTTTTTTATAAAAAATGATTGTAAGTGACTTATCTTTCTTGTTATATTTCCTTCAAACTTTTTCAGAATGTTGCCCACAATTGTCAAATAAAGACTGATTTTAGGGAAAATAACAAAACACTGTTTCACTGAAATTTGAACCATAAGCCTATAAATAGCTAATTATTTTCTTTGTTTCAAATAATACAAAAATTTTCTATCAGAAAGAAATCTTGAGTAGTATATAAATACGGTTTAAAGTTTCAGAAAAAGAAACTAGAATAAATGAACATATTCTTATATAATTGATATTAGAAGCAGTGATGATGATAACATTTCAAGCTACATAATATACATAGGAGCTTACCATGGAGCAGTGGTTAGCAATCTAATTTCACAAGATGTTGCTAGTGATGATTATTATATTACTAAATTGATTCTCACTCCGTTTTTTTTTTTATAGACTAATGAGGTAGATTTCCAGGATTCCATTAGCATTCTTGGGTTTTCGGAAGAGATTGTACAAGTTCTTCTGGCAATGTATCTCGAGAACAGATTGATGATCCGTAATGTACTTTCAGACATGTCAATGGATCTTCCTCATTACTATGATTTGGAATGGCGTCTGGATGTTCAGGTAAAACTTTAAAAAAATTTTTATATGTGATGAATTGTTGGCACATTGCTTATTCTGAAATAAATATTTTCATTTTTATTTATCTATAGATCTGTATATCTGTCATATGAGTGAATACAGAGGCCAACACTAACTGTTGATCTCGGTGTCCACTCTTATATTTACACATGCTCCTGATATTGATCAATTTTATCCATAAATATAGCATAACTTAAAACTATATTTTTTATATATATATATATACATACATACATACACACACACACAAAATGTGCTACACAAAAAGCTTGGGTAATTGAAACAGTTTGCATAAGCCAAGTGTACTACAGATTTTTTTGTCATTACTCTTTTTGGACAGTAAGTGGGCATAGTTTCCACTGACTTTTGTGAAAGAAACAGTGAAAACTAAGTTTTGTTAAAGTCATTGTAAATTAAAAAAGTGACATGAAAATCGGCTAATCAAACCCCAAATTATTTTGAATAGATATTTTTTTTAACCCCCTCCCCCCTTTTTCAGTAATGTTTTCCAGTGATGCAATTTAGAATGTGAGGAATCATAATTGTTCTGTTTTTGGCCAAAACATGTTTGTGCTGAAGGTGTTCAAAGTATGTTTTTAATTTCATTGCAGAAACTTTCACTGATTTCTAGTAACACTTCATTCACATTAATTTTAAAAATATTGCATGACTTTGTTACATTCCACATTAATTAAACCAAGTATAATTCGTACGGTTTTGAGTTTTTGTTTTGTTAATAATGTTCATCCAATACAAAACCCAAGAACCACCCAAGGTAAAGGGTTACTGTGTGGTGGTGTATGAAAAGTCAAGAAGTGAAGTTTGTTATACAGGAAATATAACTGTTAAGCCTAGACTAGAAGAGGTCAGGATACAGCAATTGGAAAAACATCCTGCAAGGAATATGTTCCACAGTTCTTGGGAATGAGAGATATTCATCCTTGTGTATATGACATGGAAGGTCCATATTAAATGTAAAACATAATGTAACCTATATACACATATGTAAGATTTTTTTGTGCCACACTAACCTAGTATAATTTTTAAAATGACAAATATTTTATTAATCAAAATCAGATACAAAAGTATTGTCTTGATTAAAAATAGAAAATCTTAAGGCACCTTTCATCTGGCACTTTCATCAGAAGTAAATATCATCGAAATTGAAATTAAGCCACTGAAAGAAAAAAAATTTTGCAACAGATCTTAAAAATATATATATATATATATATATATATATATATATATATATATATATATGTGAAAAGTGTATATAAATAAAATATATATGTATAATTATTTATATAATATATCTTGTGTACTTATTAGAAAGCACTCAATATCAGAGATAAAGCTAACATATTTGGTTGGATAGATGTTAGTTTTGACCCTGGGTTTCAGACGATCGCTAAGAACGGAAACCTAGGTCACAAACTCACATCTATCCAACCAAATATATATATATATATATATATATATATATATATATATTATAATTATTTTTTTAAAAATGATTCCTTTTCTACATAAGAGTTTTCATGTTTCAAAAACATGAGCCAAAAACTTCAATATAATTATTAAAATTAAATTGAATTAAAGTATCAAGCTCTGTTTCATCCTCAAGTGAAATTTTTGGAATAACTAATCTTGAAATTTATGCAGCTTTATAAGCATATTCATTCGTAAAATTAATTACTATGGAAACGGCTGAAGCAATTATTTCAATAAGGGACATAAGGGTTAACAATTTGTATCAACATATTAGTTACTTTTGGAAAGAGGTCAAGTCAATGTATGGTCAGAGTGCCTATTTTAAAGCGAATGATGATATTCAGTAGATGCATATCATCTAGTCTGTTTCATCGACAGAGTTATTGGCATTATTGTTATGCCATTAAATGTCTAAAGATTATTATTTTTTTTCTAAAAGGGTTGTTTGTATATAAATGCGTCGTATTGAACTACAATTTGTTTTTTTGATGACTTCATAAAGGGTTTTTTATCCTATGATTGAGTTAAGCTTTTAAACCTCTTAATAGACTATGAAATTTAAAATTTTCTTTAAATTTTTCTAATTATTTAATGCAAAAATTTGTTGATGTTGGCAAAAAACCATTAACTCATGTCTATGGTTTAATAAATTTTCATTTTTTAGAAAATTGTGAAATTCTTGTAGAGAAGGTGACGGGAAACTGTTTTGAGTTGTCTTTCTTATAGACCTAAAAGCAGAGATTCCAGTTCATTCTGCCATTTAACCTCCAGCTGCAGTACAAGAAATCAATTCCTGCTTTTTCCAAGGGTATTAGTGTGAAAGTGAATATAACAGACCAGGACAACACTGGCTTAACCATTATATTACCCACATATCCTATTGGCTTTGTATTTGTTTATGCCTATTCAGGATGTAAGTAATCATGGCTTTCCACAAATTCCTTTCTATCTTTATTTGTGAATTACCATCCTTTCTTTGGAAAGAGTGGTTTCCTGCTGCCTTGTCCATGGCTTGAATTTTAGAGTTTTCCTTCTCTTAGACTAGTTGCCATGCATGATTAGAGAGCAACTTTCCTCTTATTTAGCCCATAACTGTAAGGAGAACTGATGTATTTATGCCTTTCAAAAGGGCATTGGTGCAAAAGTGAAAGCAGTATAATAGTCTGCCTGTAATTTGAACACTGCTTGCTAAATCCACTTTTCATGTCAATAGAAGTTATCCTTTTTGCACATCCATAGGTTGCATTAATCAAGTCAATAACCAAATATCTTAATGGAGATAAAGCTGATATCCATTACTTTTATTCCATGTTAGATTTCTTTACATGTGATTATTTTAATGATTTAAAACCAGAATTCATTCTTACAAGAGTTAATTGTATAGATAAAACTGATAATGCAGGAAATATAATCAATACTGTTGCAAAATTAATTAAATATTTCAATAATATTTTTTACAGTACAAGAAAACTACTTATAAGTCAGTCATGTGCCATGCATGATACACACTTAGGCAATCATATATCTTTTGATATATGACTGACAAGGCAGATTTTTTCTGTAGTAGATTGCCATTCAAGGCTATAGAACCCAGCCTGTCCTGCTATTTACCCATAGCTGGATGGAGAAAAATAGGATTCATACCTTTCCCAAGTGTATTAGCATGTAAGTGAATGCAATGGATTCGACTGGAATTTGAAGTCAGCTCTCTGATTTCTCAATCCAAGCCGCTACCCATTACTCCACTGTGCCTCCTTATAAGTATAAACATAAAAAGCAGTGTGGATGTGTTTTTTTTATCTTTTTTTAAGTTCATTAACAAATGTTAATAAAATTGTTTATTACTCATGTTTTTGAATTTGTTTCAAATTTTCATTATCTCTCTGTCTAATTCATTTATAATGTTCAGCTGAACTGGGTTTTAAATTAATAGATGCATAGTTATAGCAAAAAAAAAAAAAAAAAAAAATTACTGAAAAAATAAGGTTTCTGTTAATGTTTAAGGTACAAGAGAAAACTAACACAACATTATAAAGTGACCTATGCTATAATGTCTTAATTTAAAAAATTTGAAAATGGAATTTTCTAAAATAAAAAAACAAAGCTGAAACTAAAGTTCTCTTCTTTTATAGGTAGCCAGCCGATCTCTTCGACACCAGATAACACCAAATATTGTGTTAAAACTCCATTTAGAGGAAGACCATGAAAAAAGCACCCACATTCTGCAAACTGATCCTGGTAACTTAATGCAACTGACTAAGGAATTGGAAAAAGCCTTGGATGAAATTAAATCCACATACTGTCGCCGTATTGTAAGAAACATAGACTGAGTTCACTAATAACATTTAGAAAATTGAGTGTAAAGATTTCTGATGTATACTGCGACAGTCATGTAATTAGTCTCATGACCTAAATTTTGGGGGAATTGGTTCTAGAAATATCAGCAAGATATGAAAGCAGATAAGCAGGAACTCTTGAAGATTTAATGTGTTTTGAACTTACTTCAAATCGTAGATGTATGAAACATTATTAGAAAAGTAAGAAAACCAAATTGCAGTTTGGTTAAAAAAAAAAAAAAACAAAGTATTTCATTTAAATATTTTATAAGATTATTGTTAAAATTAGAATAATTTAGACAGTAAAACATCAATAATTATTGCATAATATATATATATATACTACTAGTAACTATATATTTAAAATTATTTTACAATAATGGTGCCTATAAAAATCAGTATATATGAATGTTTCTTTAAAATGCATTAACATATTCTTAATAAAAACTGAAATACTTAAAAATTACTAGTTTATGGCTTAAATTTTCCTGTTATTTTTCATAATTCAGTTATAATTTCAATTTTTTTAAATTTCACATATACATAATTCAGATCTTATTAATAGCATTTTTTAAGTAATCAAATCTTTTTGTCTGAAATGTCTTCATTTAAAAAACTTCAATTACTGTAGAGTATCTAAAAATAAACAATTGTAATACAGTACTCAATACTACTGCTGTTAATTGTACTTAAAGTACAATTATAAAACTAACCTGACACCTTGAGGTATTAAATTTAAGAAGAGATTGAAAAGAATAACAGTTAAAAATGCTTATATTTAATAGCTTAATAAAAAAATTTAGACTTGCTGCCTGAAGAGAAACTAGCTGAACAGTTTAAAATAGACATTCAGGAATATTGGTAATTAGAATGTTCAACAAAATTAAGCAGTTTTTAATATTGGATTATTTATTTACTTTTTATTCTAAAGCCAAATCTTCATTTGCTTTAAATTGAAATGTAAGCTTTATTAAGCTTACAGACCTCATCACCTGCATTGTAATTATACTAAGACCTGTTTTATCAATTTCACCTAATACTACTTGTTATGAAATTGTACTTATTAAAAATTTTATTTACAATTGGAAAAAAAAACAACAAAAAACAAACTGATCAAAAATCTAAAAAGTTAAATTTTTTTTTTCATCATATGAAAAGGTCCTCTTTTTTTCCTTTTTATTAAAAAAATAACCTTTTATGATTTTTACCATCTAATAATGAGCAAAATTTAACTGACAAAAGAAAATAACAAAGTCTCTTTTTATTGCAAGTTATGAATGTCACTGCTTTTGATTATTTATTAAAATTATCTTGGGTGAGATGTTTGGGGTATCTAGTGAGAATTGAACTTACTGTCATAGTAATTGTCTACAGGACTCTCTTCCTAACTATTACACCACCCAGACTACTGATATTTTTATAAAATAAATTTTCATTATGATTAACCCATTAACTGCATACATATGGCAGAAATTTTCATCATTGCAATTTTATAGTTCTGTATTGAAGGACTGAAATTTCTGTTACATGAATCATCTGAATTAATTTTTCAAACCATTTATAACTGTAATTCATTGTTAGACCAATTTTCTATATCTCAGAAGAATGATTATATAAACAGTTAAATCTAGAAATCTCTCCTCGATCATGTTTGCTGACATCTATGCATTAAATTCATGATTCTTCAAGAATTACACCTTAAAAGGACAGGAAATTGTGGAGAGCCAAGATTTCCTATGTCCTGAAGGGACATGGCTCATAGAAGAATATATATATGTATGTAATGCAAATGAACTGCTTAATTTATTAACAAAAATATAAATAAACTTTATAATCATACACAAAATATCTTTGTTTTATTATTGTCAATCTTGTACACTGGCTCAGTTGCGTGGCTGGACATTTCACCGAATGGACATTTCACTGAAAAAGCACAAGTAAAAATAGTAGCAAGCAATACTTAAAATATTTTAATTAGCAGTATTATATGGTTGAATAAACTTATAATTACCACATTTGAAGTGATTAAATTACTAAATCTAAATTTAAAGTTAAGTTTTCTTATTTCAATATTTGTTTATTGAAATTAGTATTTTTAAAAATATTTGAGTGTATTTGGGTAAAAAGTAGCACCTAATTATTTAAATTCATATTTAACAGTAAGATAAAAGTTAGTTCATCCCTTTAAGATAATGATCATTAAAGGGGAAATTGAAAGATCTTTCATATCATAAAAGCTTAAGATTTTTGCCATAGTAAAATGTGCTTTTTCTCAAAATACTTATCTTACACTAATATATAATATATACAGAATAGATTTTTAAAAAAGCCTGTCAAAAAAATTTATAAATTAATACAGTAAATAAATATATGTAACACATTATGATAAAGAGTGTGACATACATGTAAGTACACCACTACATTTTCAATTAAATGTCTGTCAGCAAAATGTCCAAATACTGCTCAGTTGATTGGTGATTCAAAAAAATGAAGCCTGCACATCAGTCAAATTGTATAGTATTACCTTTATGCTTTATTAAAAAGCATGACCCTAATCCCTCTGCATTTTATGTCAGTGTTACTCATGGGGAGACACGGCGGAGTAATGGATAGCAGTTCAGATTGATGAATCGGAGAGTCAAGTTTGAATTCCAGTCAAATCCATTACATTCACTTACGTGCTAATACCATTGGGAAAGGTATGAATCCTCTTCTCCCCCACAGCTCTGGGTAAATAGCAAGACAGACTGGGTTCTATAGCCTTGGATGGCAACTGGTCTACCAAAGAAAGAAAATGGCAACCTACTGTAGGAAAAAATCTGCCTCGTCAGTCATGTATTGAAAGATACATGATCGCGTAAACATGTATCATGCATGTCACATAACTGACTGACTGTTACTTGTGCCTTGGTGCTGATCTTATTGGAGATAGGGAGCTTATGACCACATTATATTGAAACACCAGTTCCCGTATGATCACAGAAATTAAGCAACATTGAACCTGATCAGTACTTAGATGGATGACCGATTGGGTGCTGTAAGCTTAGATGTGCAGGTGGTGTAATGGATAATTGTTAATTGGAGAGCTGAGTTCCAAAACCAGTTGGGTTAGTTATATTCACTTACAAGTGAATAAAGAAAGATATGAATCCACTTCTTTCCCCTCAGCTATGGGTTAATTAGTAAGACTTGTATCACTAAAACCATTGTTATTTCATAAAGATAAATAAAATTGTGTACAAAATATTTCAGCATTAAATAACCCATAGAAGTTGATATGTTGCTAAACAAAATTAACCAAACCAAACTTATTGGAAATATAATGCTATAGAAGATATCAATTGAGCACAGCAGTTGTGGACAATACAGGCTCAGTTATGTTGTATTCAGAAGGCAATATTGTACAAATATATTGATTTGAGATGATAGCACAAACTTTAATCTTGTTTCTGTGAATTTCTGTGATTGAGGAATTATTATTTATACTGACTATTTTTTTTTTTTTTTTTTAAATCACATTTTGAGTGTTGTGCCCTTCAGCAAATTTCAAAATGAACTGTTTAATCTCCAGGGGTAGATCATTCTTGTTCTACTGTCCATGTTTAAGGATAGAACAAAACAAGATATCTCTAGACATGGACAACTATCTACCCCTGTAAATTGAATAGAGTTCAGTTTAGAATTTGCTGAAGGTTACTCAGATTGACAAGTACCTGATGAAGGCTGGAGGGTGCAATGACCGGTATGTGATGATAACTAAGATGAGGATAATTGTCAGAGTAAGTAATTTGTAATATGGCCGTGGAAGATGATCTTGGGACATCATTGTATAATGGCATCATCATGTTGTATGATATTGCCACTTCACACACAAGCAGCCTGATAAAAGAGTGGCTTTGGCACAATGGATATAAAGTGGATGTAGTAAAACATCCCAATGTTTTACTACATCCACTTTATAGTCTTGACTTAGATACTTTAGTTTATCTTGTTTCAGCCCACTGGGAAAAAATTGCATACAGATACTTCTGCTATTTCAGGTGCCACTTGACAACACATTCTTCAATGATGGCATTTACAAACTCAGAAGTTGGTCAATCTTGATGACAACTATGTAGAAAAATAGTAGCGTAGTGCTGGTAAAGTATACATATTTGTTTTGTAATAAAGATGAGCTTTCCTTTTTGGTACCTAGCCTTTATGAATTTAAGTTCAGTACAAGATTGACAGCAAAGTTCCATTATTTTACAGTTGAAATGGCTATATGTAACCAGAAGTTTTATGCTAATAGTTTCTGCTCTTTCACTTCTTGCTTGTGGAACTTTCTTCGGGTTTCTCTTCTTGCATTCCAGTCAAATTTGATCTTAAAAATTTAAAGTCAATGTCAATTGTTATCTTTGGTCTTCATTCCTGTTCTTTTATTGTTTTCTCACCTTAATGTTTTTTGTTTTTTTTGGGGGTTTTTTACACTTGGCAAACACTTGAGCCTTAGTTGCTTTCTTGGGTAAAATGATTAAAAAAATGTTAGATTAATAAATAATTGTACATTACTTCTCAGATACTTTCCACCTGTATAATGGAAATGTTGCTCTTAAAAGTTCTGTAGCAAAGTGTTTCATTGCAGTTTAATATGAATTAAGAATTCATATTAAAGATGTTCATATAAATGATATAAAGTTCACAAACAGCAAATACGAGAAAAATATATTTTATTGAATATAGCTTTTTCTTTTGGTTCAAAAGTTGAGATTTTGCAGATATTATGTATAGTGTATACAAATCCATCATTTTCAATTGTAAAAATGACTTTAAAAATATAACTTTTTAGAGCTTGTATAAAAATATGTAGCAGATATTAATGACACGGACCAAAAGTACAGTTAACATCAAAATGAAAATTTAAAAAATTAGAAATGCTTAAATAAAATGCCTAGTTCAGTGTAACATTCATAGCCCATACAATCATTTTCATTTCACCAGAGAATCTATTCTAT